ATCTCTACATACTATTTCTCTGAGCTCCTGGAGGTGATGCAGCTCGCCGATCCACCAAATCGCAAACGATCTTAGGTTTCAAAAGGAGTGGAGAAGGTTTCCTAGTCTGCACATCTAGGCACGAAGAAGTCGTATTCGCAGTGTGGTCAAGAATTGCACGTTTGCATCGCACTGTGACTCGTGTGACACTGCCGTGGTGACCATAATCATTCCAGTGCTCAGCCATCCGACAGTCATGATATGTAACCACCAACTCCTGGTAAAGCTGTTCAATACGCCAGAAACAACCGATCGTCAAAACGATATCCAAACCAGGATTCAACGCCTTGCGCACAGGTGCCGTGAGTCTAGGCGTCGCTCCCGATTCCTCGTTCGCGCGTAGCCAAGCACCCTAACCTGTCTCTCACAACTGTCCTCTACGGCCCAAGTCCAGTCTCCATTGTATGCATCTCCTGATCGACCTCGACCAGCGCGTTGTACTCCGCACCCCACGTCCGGATACTCTCGAGGACTTTAGCCGGGGCCTTGGCAGCGAAGCCCTTGATGATGTTGTATTCATGTGTAATTATTCCGCCCTGGTGCGCATGTTAGCGGACTGCTTCTGGTCCAGAAGCGAGGGGATAGTAGGGCACATACGGCTTCCACGATAGCCTTCTTCGCCTGCTCAACCACGCTGTCTGGGGTCTCATTCGGGTAGCTGACAATTACGGACTGTTGCGGTGCCGCGGCCATGGCGAAGGCGGCGAGCAGGCTGAGCAGGAGGGAGAGAAGTGCGAATTTCATGTTTCTGGATATTGCTGGGGATTTAGTGGATTCACACGTCGTTGGTGGTACTTTGCGCAATCGTGGAAGGTAGCAGAAGTTGATGTAGGAAAGGGTGGGACACTTGTCGCGTTTCGGAAGGTTGCAACGTGCCAAGCGATGAACGCATCGAGCGGGAGTTCCCGCCGCTGCGCCTAATTACCCGCCGGACGCCGCAGCCGCCAGCTCCTACGCCGCGCTTTGAGTCCGCGGGTCTGCAGTGAATGGATAGGTTGATTACTAGTGAAATGCGCGTCGAGCTTTCTTCGCACTGTCGGGACTGTTGTGAATTGGACAAGAAGCAGCCCAGAAATAGATCACCAGTTGCAATAGGCTTAGTGCTGCCTTTGTAAGCCGTGCCCTATCCGCGACCTTCAACTTTCCATTGCGGACAACTTACGACACTACGCGCCCCTCTCACAAACCACAACACAACACTGTGCACGGTCAATAGCCTGGGACCATACGCCAGAGTCTCACTGCTAAATTATCTACCGCTCTGCTCCGCCTCCGTTGTCTTGCGTCCGCTCGCCATCGCTCCTTTCCTAAACTTCGACAAGTCGCTCGCTGACGGAACATCGTCATTCTGACTTTCCTCCCTCTCACCCTCACAAAAGCTCAAGAAGGTTGGCTTCGCGTGCAACGGCGGGAGATCGAAACATTTGGTATACGTTCTGCGCTATTGGAGGAGGTGAAACGCCTTAGGGGGGCCAGCTCTCAATAGGACGTTCGGGCAAGCTATCGTTCTGGGCTTGAGTTCTATTCAGTTAGCAAAAAACATTTCCAGTCGTCGAACATAAAAGCAGAAGGACCTCGTCAGAAACAGAAGATAGTTCGTTGACAGCTGGAGCGACCAAGAGCAAATCTTTGGTCCTTGTCTTTCTGCATCTGCCAGCAGCAACCGGCAATCAGCAAACATTGCATTTGATACCATTCTATAGACCGCAGTAGCCCATTATGTCTCTGCCTTCTGCCGAAGTTGCCGCCGATTTCAGGGATGCTCTGCAAGATCTGAAGATGAACAGTCGGCCTGAAATCAGCAATCTAACTATAATTGCGAAAGAAAACACAGAACATGCACAGGCGATATCAAGGGAGTTGGAGAATCACATACGAGCGGTGAGAGCAAACTCTAGGATGGATGGCAAGTCTTCCATAGCGACTCGGCTGCTAACTTTATCGTAGACACGTCCGGAGTGGAAGCTACCCGCTCTCTACGTACTCGACTCCATTGTGAAGAACGTAGGAACGCCTTACACGGTATATCTAAGTCGAAACCTGTACAAAACCTTCATGGATGCCTACACGCTAGTGGATTCTCAAACACGAAAGGCAATGGAAGGCCTTCTCAGGACGTGGAAGCAGCCTGTTCCTGAATCAATGGATACTAGACCAGTCTTCCCACTTGAAGTGACCAGGGATATCGAGAGCACTCTGATAAAGTTCAGGACAGTAGCATTTCAGACTCAGCAACAACAGGCACGGTCACAGAGGCCTGTTCAGAGCCCGCTGCACGGCAGACCAGCCCTTGCTGCATCCACGATTCCCTGGCGGCATACCCCGACACCCCCGAATGCTCAGTACGCTCCCCCTTCAACCCCTCAAAGCGCAACAAGTCAATCGGGTCATGTAAGATTTGCCACAATTATCCACGCGGTTAGAAAAATGCTTACGACTCCACTAGACTACCTTCACACCACCCGTAACTTATCCGACTCCTCAGCCCGCAGATAGACTTGGCCAGGATCTCGAGAGGCTCATATCTCAGGCGAAACTAGATTTCGCAGCCAATTATTTTGACACGTCGACACAGCAAAAGCTGAAGGCCTTGCTTGATCTTCAAACAATTCTGAAAAGCCAACAGTTACCACCACAGCAGCTTCAAGCTATACAAGCGGAAGTGGACCGTTTGTCAAGCTCGCTTCCCTCATCACAGCCCATGCCAGCATCAGTAGCTCCTCAACCAGCTCCACAGCTACTAGCTCAAGCGCCTACTCCTTCGCCGAATCTAGCACAGCTGTTCTCACAGGCTCTCCCCGCGCAATCTACACCAACCCCATTAAACCAGCGCCCAACAGCAACTGCGGTACCTGCCCTCCAAATACCTCCCCGAATCAGCTCCCCAAGCGCTGCTCCTACTTTTCCGCCAAACCTGGCACAGTTGTTGAAGCAGTCGGTAGCACCGACTGCAACCCCACCACCATCAACTCCAACTGTGGCTCCGGCTCCAGCTCCAGCTCCGGCTGCGCCTCCAGCCGTACCATTGAACTTGTCGCAGCTGTTGGCACAATTCACTACTCCGAAGCCAGCACCCCCTCCGGCACCTCTGCCTGTGGCTCCGCCTCCTCGCGCAGCGTCGAACGGCACCGCCTGGCTGCTTGAAGCCCTTCGCTCGCAGAACCTTGTACCAGGGCAGGCAGCTCCGTCCACTTCGGTCGTTGCAGCAACAACGCCCATTCCGGCACAATTACAGGCGAGGCCGCCTCAGCACAGAGCTCATAATGTTCAAAACGATGTGGAGATGACCACTGCATCAATCAGAAGGTGAGCAACTCTGGACCTCACGACGGGTTCGTCACGCACTAACGTAGCTCTTAGATCGAGACCACACTTAAAATTTCTGCTGTATGAAGCGAATCCAAGTCAGTGTCAGGAATGTGGTCGGCGATTCCCGGCTACCGAGGAGGGCAGAAAGTTGAAGGCCCGCCACCATGACTGGCACTTTCAGGTCAACATGCGCCTGGCGGAGGCCGCAAACCGGCCACTCCAGCGTGAGTGGTACTGCGGCGAAGAGGTAAGCAAATTCACACGTGCAATTCTCAAGCGGCCATATGCTAACTGTACTCAGACATGGATCAAGATGCGAGATCGAGCACCCGACATTGACGCCTTCGAAAACAAGCCATCCACAACAGCTGCTCAGGAAGTTGATGGAGGGAAGGACAAGATGCCTCCAGTCCCCTATGTTCTGACATCGACTGAGGCTCTTGGCGCCAGCGTGCAGTGTCCGGTGTGTCACGACACCTTCAAAGCAGTCTGGCATCCGGAGGCGGAGGATTGGGTATGGATGGACGCAGTCAAACGGGGCGATAAGATTTATCACGCGAGCTGTCTCGCTGAGATGAGCCGGGACGGTGGTAGCATTGGCACTCCGCAACCTGCGTCGGCCACGTTAGTTTTAGGGAAGCGGAAGGCTGAAGTTCATGACCTGAAAGCGCCGTGACTGCGATGAGCTCGCACAAGCTCAACTTGGCTTCCACGCTCTAGTACTAACACACAGCATTGTTTGGTGTCTTGACTCTGGGGGAATTGGGGGGGATACGCCCACGTGCTGGTGATTGAAGCGCTCACCTGCCCTCGCTCGCGCATCGTTGCAGAAGCATTCTATTGATAGCTATTATTCTGGTAGCAATACGATCGCTTCACTTTATCACCATTTCCTATTGATCCATGACGATCCTCGTTATATCGCGTACTCACGTGTTTGACGCGAATAAGCGGCGGAAGCAATTGAATGGGAACGGGTGGGTGAGCCAGTCGGAAACATCCCAAACGAGCATCCAACCGATCTGCGAACAAATTCAATACAGCCATTATTTACCTTCCACCCGATACAACCTAGAGCTGCACTCGGTCCAGTGCTTCTATCCTGAAAGATCACGCATGTTCTACACTACTAAATCCACCCATTGCCTGTCGCTACCGTACCAGGCGCCTCAGCGCGCAGTTGCGCTGTTGCGCTCCATCCGCATAACCCTCCAACAACATGGCTCTTCCGTGCTTCAAGCTCACACCTCTCCAATCCCGCTTCGCCGCCTCCCTTACCGCCTCTGTTCTCGTCATAATCATATACCTGTCCCTATATCCGCCGCAATTCGCCTACGCAGCGGAGCTGGACTCGATACTAAACGAAGACCACAACCACCGGCGGTTACTGGGAGGATTGCTGGGCGAGGATGACGTGTTAGACGGAGAGGAAGAGACAGATTCACATCTGGGGATATCATACGAGGCGGACTTTCTTGGAGTCCACCGCAGCATCATTGGCAGGGCGGAGGAGGGCGTACAGACGTTGAGGAACAATGTCCCGGGCAGGAGTAATGGGCAGATTGGATTGACGGACTACTGGGAATTCCCGTCTGATGCGGTATGGGGGGAGCATGGGGAGGTCGGTGAGGGTTTGCCTTCGACCCTAGAAGAGCGCGCAGCACTGGTCACGAGGGATGACTTGTGGTCGGAGGAAGACGGCGAAGAGGACGCAGCAGTCGAGGGAAACACGACAGACCTCAGAAGGCGGCAGACAGAGCTTCCGGAACCACAGCGCCCAAGAACTGTATACATCTCGATCAATGTCTGTCAGCAGCCCGCATCTAACGGGACCACAACCGCCGAGGCGCCGCAGCTGACCATGTACGTATCTACTTCAGAACAAAATACCAAGCCAGGGCCAGACAAGCGCGAGCTCCAAGCCAACATACCGCTAGCTGAAGGCTTCGCCCAGCATACCGTCAATGCTACAGGAGCTGTCTACATCGGCGTGCACGAGCCTGACTTACCGTCCGGCCTGTCTGGCGCGTGGAACTACGAGATCACGGCTTCGATTGACGCACCGTACCATAGCTATGACGGCGGAGAGCCTTTGCTCTTGTTCATCGACAGCGACACCGCCTCCGCGCTCCTCGTGACCGACAATCTCACCCAAGCGAATGCCAGCGACCCCGTATATCGGAGATGGATGGACTTGGCTGAGCCTCCTTTCACTATGTACGCCTTCGATAGGAATGACACCTCCCTCCGGGGTCTCCAGAGATCGTATTGCGGGCTAGACGCAGTGCCCTCAGGAAAGCAAGTAGAAGTTACGCGAACCATGATCACCCGCGGCCTCGGCAACAAGCCCAAACAGCAATTCCACATCCGCGGCCTCAACGGCAGCACGACCTACCGCGGCTTCCTAGCCATGCGCGGCAACTCCACCGCCTCCGGCGACGGCGTCATCAGCGGCGGCGGCCAACTCTGGTCCCCCATAAACTTCACCACCAAATCCGACGCCAACTGCCGCATCATCTCGAACCTGACCTTCTGCACCGAAGTTGCGTACGCGGTGCCCTCCAACGACGAGACCTTTCCCTCCGCCACCGACCTCGCGAACCTGTACGACGATCGCGCTGCGGCGCTGTATGAGAACTTCACCTACTCCCTCGATCAGATTGCTTGTAATGCGACTTCTACCGCGCGGTACTCGCTGGCGCGCAACTGCACCGACTGCTCGGCCGCCTACAAGACCTGGCTCTGCGCCGTCACCATCCCGCGCTGCGAAGACTTCAGCGCCCCCGCCTCACTCTCCTACCTCCAGCCTCGCAATATCGGCCAGGCTCCCCTTTCCCAGCCCACCTTCCGCCCCACCTCCAACTCCACGGACGCGGAAGCGCTTGCCAGCAACTCCACATTCCGCCAGCGTCTCTACGCCAACAGCTCGCGCAACCCGCTTATTGACCAGGACATCCGGCCGGGACCGTACAAGGAGGTTCTGCCATGCGAGGACCTGTGTTTTGAGCTTGTGCGGAGCTGTCCTGCGAAGTTGGGGTTTAGCTGTCCGTTGAGGGGGAAGGGGCTGGAGAGGAGCTATGGGAGAAGGGGAGGGGGTGGGAGGGTGGAGTGCAGTTTTCCGGGGGAAGTGTTTGTGAGGAGTGGGGCGGGGAGGATCCTAGCAAGCGGACTGGTTACGATAGTGATGGGGGCGCTGGTTGTGGGGGTTTTGGGGATTGGGGTTTGGTGAGGATGGATGGGGTGCGAGGGGGTGTTTGGCGTAGGTGGGTGTTTTAGGGGCTTTTAGGGACGTATGAAGAGAGGGAATGGGGGCGCACGGATGTCAGGTCACTGCAAATGATGCAGACACTGACTAGAGCACCTACAAGATGTTGTATACTTTAGATCTGGCCTTCGTGCTGCGGTTGTACATTCAGTCCGAATCATATCGCGCCATGTGTGCTTCCCAGTAAAACGACGCGTGATTCAGTTCAAGCTCCAACCCTGAAATGAATCTCCTGTTAACAACACAGGGAACTGTGCGTCAAGATATAGTCCCAAGCAAGATCATAAATATACCAGTCCGGGAGTCTGGGCCTTGAAATCAAGGGACGACAGGGCTCTGACTTCTCACGTGCTCATCACGTGCTCCTCGGGCCCATGGACGCTCAGTGGCTGTGCGGATTGTGGCGCCAACACCAGACAATCATACAACGTCATGGAACCGCTGCGCTCAAGGCTGCAGAAGGTTGGGATGGAAACAAGGCATAAAGCTATCCGCGAGCCTGCGCATCTCCGCAATTGCGCCTAATGTACATGTATACCAGTTCTTGCGCCTTTTCCTCGTGTCCCCCTCATTGCTAATACAATCTACTATTCTATATACTTGTATTTGGCACTCAAGTCTAGCTAAGAGTTATTCTATTAGACACATAGCTACAATTCATAATAGTCTCGTTATCTTTACCCTCCCGTCTGCACACGATGGACCCCCGCACAAGCACCAGCACCTTCAAGAGCTCCACCGTCCGTGACAGCTCGAGCAGCTTCAAAAACCTCAGCCTCCTCGACAGCGCCAGCAGTCTCAAAACCTCCAGCACCCTCCGCCCGGACACCAGCTCCAGCTCCCGACCCCCGACCTACACGTCTGCCGAGTCCCCTCCACCCTCCTTCGTAACCGCCTCCACAACCTCCACGGGCCGCCTCCGCCTCGCCATCAGCGTCACGACCTCGATCGCGCGCTCCAGCTCCCCTGCGCCCACATCTGCAGGCGGCGCGGCGGGGTTCCTGGAGCCGGGGCAGGAGGACCCGGATGCGACGACTAGGACAGATGTCTCCGGCGGTGGAGCCAGAGGTGCAGAGAGAGCGCCGTTATACCAGCTCTCCGCACCGCTAGCCTCACACCCGCAGAGCCTGACGCTGAGCGCCTACCACACGCCGCAGGCGCTCAAGCCCCAGAACCTCTATGCTGAGAGCAGCGCGGGAAAGACACCCAGGACCGCGGCGCTGTACACGATCATCCCCCTGCCGACTGCACTCAAGGGGCAGAACCAGGTCAACAAGGTGACGATACGGCCGTCGGAGCGGGATGGGAATGTGCTGGGGCTCAGGGGGACGGGGCTTGTTAGTCTGGGGCTCTCGCTGCGGGGCTTTACGGCGAAGGTGGAGTTTGGGGGAAAGGAGGCGCTGGTATTCAAGGCTGGGAGGTGGAAGGTGGATGGGCGGGTTGTTGCGGAGTCGGAGGCGCTGAAGGGTTTGGGTGCAAAGCGGATGGCGGAGTTGGAGTTCGTGGAGGACGTTGAAGAAGCGGTCAGGGATCTGGTTGTTGCGGCTTGGGTCGCTGTGGCTTGGATGAGGGTCATGGTGCCGAAGCTTGGTGGTGGTCGCGCGACAGGGCAGGTGTGATCAGGCTTGGTTACAGGGGAGGAGCTAAAACTGGAGACTAGCCCGTTGGACGTAAGGTGGACGATAGTGGGTATTGCGGCGTGAAGGATTCTCAGACCGACCCCCGAAAAAAAGCACACGATCCGGACACCCCGTTGCGAGCTCCATGGATCAATGGCTTACGAAGGACAGTGTTTGTATTGAGGAAGCGGACGCTTGGCCACCCTTCTTGTTATTAGCAAGAACCATCAAGTGAGTAACCTGATGGAGATTTAAAGCTACTATTGACCATGGAGGCCTCTAGATGCTTAATTCTCTTTCTATAAGCGCCGAAATACTGTCTTCAGACCCCTCGTGATCGCACGCCGCCAAGTGTCCGCTTCCTTAATACAAACCCCGTCCTTCGTATGGTGACGCGTGTGCGCCGCTGGATCTATGAGCGCATTGTATCCGTAGAGGTGATACCCTGGCGTGTTCTGTTTAGAGCACTCTTTGAAAATGATGGTTTCTGAATTTCGCATCACGACACTGTTAATGGGAGGGTTGTAATGTTCAGCCTATCATTGATTCTTTTATAATGGTCCGTCTGCCCTGGCCTGGTCACGACTGGGCAGACAACGTTAAGCATGAAGCGGCCCAGAGTCGCTCACATTTGAATCTGTTGATCCATGTCTTTGCTCCGCGGTCGTGGGTATCTCATAACATTCTTCAATCGTGACTCATCAAGGTTCTCGTTCTCTGCGGAACCCATTCTCCAGCGCCAATTCCGCCTTCGCGATCTTCTCCGGCAAAGGGTCTGAGCCATCGTCAGATGAGTCAACCAAGCGGTCGAAGCAAGGGTCCCGAGTGGTGCGAAGGATGGTGGAGAATCGGTTGCTGTAGGTTGCGCCGGTGCGGACCAAAGCCCAGGCCCCGACAGCGACGCATAGCATGGCGCAAGCAATACTGATGCCGTATGGAAGAAGCAAATCTCGGGCGTTGTATACGTAGATATTGTGATATTCCGTGACGGAGACCGGCACGTACTCGGCGTCGGTGCCGTTGTTGCTTTGTCTGTGTCAGCAGATGAGGGGTTCAGAGACCACTCGTCCGATCACTTACACCAATAGCTTGGAGCTCAGAAAACTCAATGTGATATTCTGGAAGAGCTGCTCCAATCCCCACTTCGATGTGGCTGCGGTCGTCCAATTGATTGCCGTGTAAGCGTACAGAGTGTAATGGCTACGTGTATAGCCATAATGGCTGAGGATCGCTTCTCCAACCAGAACTTTGCCAAATGCGTCCATCGCTGCACGGTATGTGAGATTTCTCGCATTCCCCTCAGATATATTATGCGTTTGCTGGCTGGTTTCGTCGTAGTCACGCTGCCCCCATCCCCGTACAGGATGCTCGTACTGGAAGGCGACCAAATTTATTGATTGCGAAGGATATGTGAAATTGAGGTCCACATGATAAGAGGCGTTGTACAACTTGCATTCGTGAACATATACTGATTCGTTGCGTGTTGATTGGCCTGGTGCATTGCCCATCACGTAGAGTGTGGAGGCGTCTGGGGACGACTCATCAAGTGTTTTATATGCCTCTTGTCTTAACCCCATGCTGAAGTTGAGCTGGCCATAATATGGGGAATCCGCAACCCAGGACGTATATGCCGGAAACCCTCCTGTCCCGAAATATGCTGCGCTAAAAGCGTCCCGGATCTGTTCAACAAAGGTAGCGTTAGGTGGGGTACACTTGATGGCTGGTGCAAAAAACTGAAGTTGATAGGTTGAATTGCGATGGTGAGACGGTATGGTAAGGATTTCACCGGACATGGCAGTGGCCAGCGCTATGCGAGCAACCTCCATGGACGGTTCGATATAGCCCTGGCCACTTAGCCCATACACAGCCCATGCCGGCCAGTTATAAGCTAGTTGAGGAACCTGAATCTCGACAATCGACCCTTGCTGTTCCGATAAAACTGTAAGGGTACCAGGTGTAACTATAGCGGCGAGAGGGATGAGCCTAGACGAGTATAGTGAGCGGTGGTTCTTCGCATAAGACCTTGTTCACGCATACCAAGTCACGAGTGCTGGTAGCGTTAAGAGAGGGGCTTTCAGCCACAGACGAGTACTGAGAAAGAGGGTAGCGTCGCCGAGAATGCCAAACATTGAATCCACCCTGTCAATGCGTATGGGGCGAGATTGGAGCGTTGACCATTGTTGCTGAACGTAGGCAGCTCCGGTAGCGATAGCAAGGAACATCTTAACCAGAAAGGCGAATGCAGTTCCGTAGCGGTTGGTCCATTGCTGGGACATAGCACCGTCAACTCTCATGCCATCAAACCGGAGATAGAAGAAATGATGACCGATAGCCAGAGCAATTCCGGCGATCAAAGAGCCGCACATGATGGCAGGAGCACGCCAGTGAAGCCCCGGCTTACGGAACGGTTCGGTTTCCCCATCAGCCTTCGCTTCAGAACGCAGCAATCCCTGTTTCGGATTGACTGTGAAGTTTTGTGTCTGCATCATGCTTGGTAGAGACATAGGTCACTGAGATGGAAGCTGTGGAAAACTGATTTGCGCATGCCAACACGAGCATTAATGACTGATATGGCGGATGGTAAGACTCTACATCGAACGTTAGATAGTGCTGCAGATATAAGTGAAAGCGGGGAAGACGCAAGAGGGGGGCCGGCAGGCCCAGATTAGAAGTAGGCTATGCTGCTGCAACAGACGGTCATTCGTAGTAGAGTAAGGCTGAACCACAAGTCAGCTGCGCCTTCCACGCACTCGAAGATAGGCTGGAATGCGCAGTTAAGGGAATCGAATCCTTGCACAACACCTTCATATAACCGGTGGGGTATGTAGTGCGTCGATGGCTTGTTCTGTGTAACAAAACATGCATGAAAACCCTACGAGTATGGAAAGATTCACTGGACGAAACATTAGTACACCGTTCCATCTTTGAAGCATGTACTGTAAGTTCATGTGTATACGATGCCAATACCGGTGCGAAAGTAGGAAACCTGGGGTTTGTTGCCCATCGAAAAAGACACTGGTCGAGGCTGCAAAGAAGATAGTGAGATGCCGGCCCAGGGAAACGCTGCGCCCTATTGATAGAAACCGTCGGGAGTGGAAGAGGAGGATGCAGCTGCACGTGGCGCAGCCTGGAACGAGGGGAAAGGCGTTTCCTCTTTCGTGCCCTCGGTGCGTTGCTGCGGGCGCGCGAATATCTTGGTTCAATCTACTTATCTTCCAATGGCGTAGAGTAACACAGACGCAGACGCGGGAGTAGAGAGGAGTTGCGGCTTGAAAGTAAACAGAGAGACGTTGATCCAAGTCACGCTTGTCCTGATAGTTGCAATGGAATGGGGGCAAAGTGCTGTGATCACGTGGTCGTAAATCCGGCAACTTCAAACTCAACATCGGCATAGAAGATTCATTTGCTTATGCGCAGATACTACATATTCGAACCAAAGGAGCACTCTGCGCTCCAGTGCATCAAAAGCCTGACCGAACCAAGCCCACACGTCCCTCGCATTCGAGCTGAAATCGGTTCGCCCCCTAGCTCCGCTATAGCGTATACAGCTGCGGCATGGTTCCTGTGCCCTCAGAGCGCTGAACCAACTTCTTGTTGTCCCTCCGTAGATTACCTTTCATGAACGCGCAGAGGATGGCACTCAAGATAGAAGAGACCATTATCAGCACCATGGCTAACGTGTATCGAGGCGAATCGCCGGATCTGAAAAAATACGGACTCCAGATATTGCCCAGCTGTCCCATGACGTTGATAATAGCGGTGGCGCACGCACGCTTCTCGGGCGTCTGGCCGGTAGTTGACGCGCCCCAACTGTGGACGAGCGAATTGGCGGCAAAGCAGCCGGAGATATACAGGAAGGAGGCGAAGTACCGGGCCGGCACGTTCAGTGTAGCCGTGACGAGCAAGCAAGTCAATAGACCCTATACGCCCCTAACCTTCCGATAACTCGGCGGCCTAATCGTCCTCCCAATAACCTTCCCCCCCCACACGGGCACCAACGCTACCGCGCCAATAAGCAGCACCCTCCAGACAAACCCCACGCTCCACACAAACCCTAGATCGAAGTACCTCCCCAGGAACGGCACCGAGACTGCATACGACGCCGCAGTCCCCACGATACAAGCAATCATGACCCAATGCCACGTCACCACCTCCGCCGCCACCATCATAAGCTCATTAAGCACAAGCACCGTGTAGCTGACCGCGACCATCTTTTTAAATGCTCCTTCGTCGACGCCGCCGTCAGCGGAGCGGCCTAGCCCGACGAGCAGCTGGGCCCCGCCTTGGATGATGAGGCCTTGGTACAGCGAGATGGCGCACCAGATGAAGAAGGTGCGGTGGGAGAGGGAGCGGCCGGCTGTAAGCTCCGCGTAGAGCTCTGGGTAGAGGTGTGCGAGGTGCGGGGATACGTCGCGGTCGAGGACGAGGGAGAAGACGGGGAGGGCGGTGTAGGCGGTTGCGTAGCCGACTAGGAGCCAGTCCTGTGGGGGTGGGTTAGTAGGGGAACGACAGGCGCAAGTGTGGCGAGAGGGCGAAGAAGCGCAAAGATGTCGAGAATGATGGCAGAGTGGAGGTAAGTTAGAAGGGGAGCATACCTTATACAGAGCAATCGGCTCAAACCTCGCCGCAACCGAGTAAACGACCTGGCACACCGAGACAATGAGCCCTCGATGAATGACAAACTGCGCCAGCTTCGCGCTCCTCTTGTAGCTGTTCCGTCCATGCCACAAAAGCAGCTTCGTCAAGTAGCAGAATTGGTCCACTGAGAAATCAGCTGCCAAACTGGCCTGCCGTCCCTCCTTCCCTACGACACCCACTCCAACGTCTGCCGCCTGAATCATGCTGACATCGTTGCCGCCGTCGCCAATACAGCAGACGCGCTTCTTGGTGTAGCTTCGGATGAGATGCGCGACGTCTGCTTTCTGAGTTGGGGAACATCGGCAAGCAACCACAGCCGGCAGCTTCACAGCGACTGCTATAAACTCATTCCGATGGTGCGTCAGCATGAACCCGAGCGATTCTCCGTCAATAAGGAGGGCAGACGATGAAGATTGCTGCAGCTGGTTCAGTAGACCGGGCGCAAGGTCTTTCCGCTTCAGCTTCGTAATCGTCTGTATAGGCTGGTTCCTAGCTACAAGCTTCGAGGAGATCGCAACGCAGCGAGCCGTCTCGACTTTGTCGCCAGTCAGCATCCAGATTTTGATACCTGCGTTGCGAAGGAGTTCCAGCGAGGGCTTGACGTCTCTCTGGAGCCTGTCCTCCACGCCGGTGATACCTAGCAGCTCCAGGTCGGTTTCAAGGAATTTCTTGACGACATCCGCCATGGCGGTGTCGCGGGATTGCAGCGATACGGACGCTTGGGTGTAGTGGGTGGAGAACTCGGCGTATTGCTGGGAGGAGAGACGTTTGCGGCCGACGACTAGGGTACGTAGGCCTTCTCGCGCCATATTCGCAGTTTCTTCGTCCAGCCAGTCGGATGGTGCAACGATCGAAGACATGACAGTGTCTGCGCCCTTCTGAAAGAACCAAATCTCGTCATCCGCTTCCTGCCTGTTCTCGGCTCCCTGCTCAAACCTGACGACGATGCCCATCCTCTTGCCTTCGGAGGTAAACGGGAAGACGTTCAGAATGTGAACGCGAACAACGAGCTGGCCAGTGGACGTGGACTGCAGAGACATGCTGTGCCTGTCTCGCTGTAGCAGGCGCAAGCCAACCGCCGAAGTCCACTTCACAATAGCAATCTCATCAGGAGAAGATGCCTGGTAAGTAGTCTCCATATCACCATTCTCATGTTCTTCGGTGGTAGGAGTGACATTGTGGCAGATCGCGAGTGCCATAACAACATTGAGGACCCTGGATCCAATCTCCCGTCTCGTGCGAGTGGCGGAGGTGGAAGCGATGTGGGAGGACGAAGGGGTAACCAGAGAGGATGCAGTCGGACTTCCCGTGTCGGGCGGGACAGAGAGACCCTGCCGAACATACGAGCATACCTCCTCCATGGCCTCACCAGCATACGACACTGTGCCGATATGGATTTTCTTCAGCTCCATCTCATTCTGAGTCAGCGTCCCTGTCTTATCGCTGAGTAGATACTCGATGCGGCCGAGATCTTCCGGGATAGTACTCGTCCGGACTACGGTACCTGGAATGCCCTCGTCCTTCTCGATGAACCATGCGTAGACCGATTTTCCCATGTCCAGATTGACTCTCAAGCTGATCGGAACGATGGTGGAAAAGAGGATGAGAAAACGCATGACCGAGACATACCATCTCCGCTGATCTGTTTGCTCATAGCGGCCAAGAGCCACAAGAAGCAGAGAGACGGTTAGGGTGAGGGCGCAAAGTATCTTGGTTAGAGAATTGATCTCATACTCAAGCAGGCCAGCCTTAGAGCGGGAGGGAGAGGTGGATAGAGCTTGGCGTGTCTGGGGGCCTGTGTATATTACCACTGCCAGCACTGTAGAGCTGGAGGCGAGCACTGTGTTTGCCCATGCAGTGTTATCGATGGTCAAGGGAGACGCTTGTTGGGATTGGTTTTCTGCGCTGCCGTCGGGTGGTGCGTCTTTGTCGATGTGAGGATCGTAAGATGAGTGTCTCTCTCTAGGTAGAAGCTCGATAGTGCCGACAAATTCGTTGACCTTCCTGTCTGGCTTCCCAGCTAAAACCCTCAGTCGAGTGTATTCACAGATGTCCAGCGACTGCGATAGTGGTGATGCGAGGCGCAGCTTCCAGTCAGTCTCGCCATCGAGCTGATCGGTTCTGATAAAGGCCTCTCCGGATAGCTCGGCGTTGTTGATTTTTGGAGGCTGCGCTGCTTGCTCGACTGTGCCGTTCGGTTCCGGGTCAACGGCGCTCGGATTGTCATTGGCAGCATCTATCAGATCTGCTGAGGGACGTTGCTCCGTCGATGAAGCGCGTTCACCCTCGAGGGTCTTGTTTTCGCTAGTATAGCTCCTCAGTATCACCATATCCGCCGGCACACGCTGGTTTTTCATCATTTTGACTACGTCGCCTACTTTCAAGTCTTTTGATGTCTTGCTTAGCTCCCGAAAGCTGGCCGTAGGCTGGCCCTTCCCACCGCCCTCCATACTTTGCTCCTCTTCCTCCAAATCCGTCAACCTTCTCGCCATGCCATTTGCCTTTCTCTTCCGCTTTCCAAGGATCCCTCGGTTGCCAGAGCCGTTCGTAGTTGTTCCGTAGCTACTCTCTTCGAACCTTAGCACCGTGTACGCCTCAGAATTCGCCTCAGCATCTCTCCGCCGTCTCGTAATGTCATCAGCCGCCTCTTTCCCAAGTGTGATCATAAGAACAAACGCCAGTGGTGCAATGTAAGTGGACAGATAGCCGATGCGCAAGGCGGGTATAATTTGCGAAAGCGCCACCAGTAAAAAGTACATGTTGAAGAAGAATGAGAACTCATTGTACAGCGTCCGCGGCAGGAAGGACCAGGGGGTATATTTGGCGTTTGAGACTGCGTTGGGAGGATAGCGACTGCTCTGAGCTTGTCCCACAGCTACTGTCCGGTTCGCTGCTGGATTGTGCTCATTATCGGGTTCTGGCTCTGTTGGTGGTGGTGCTTCCCCAGAACTCGAACCCGCTATGAAGCTTGGAGGGCTTATGCGCGAGCCTATCCTCTTCAAGGTTCCTGCGTCCTTCCGCCTCCGCCGGCCGTGTGAGGTGTTTAACAGGGGCGCGTCATCTTCGTGATCAGCGTCGACGCTGCCAGCTGTATACATCTTTGGCTCGCCATCATGTGCGAGCCCTCGCGAATCTCCAAAGTCATCGCTCTGTGTCCTAGGGGGCCGCCGTCGTCCGACCCTCAGGTTGCGTAGCGGAATACGGTTGCCAAGGTCGTGCAGAGAGTTTCGAGCGTGTTCGAGCGATCCACGGACTGCAGGTGACGAACGAGACTGCGCGCCAGTAGCGGGATCGAGTTCATGGAGGTCTAGGTCGAGGTCGGAGTCTGTGTCATCGGTGGGCGAGTCTGGCGCATCCGGCTGATGGTATTCGTGAGAGAGGGACATGCCTCGGAGCCGTTATACGTTGGTATCATGAGAGTTCGTGGTTGTTGTCTTTCTCCTCTTTCTCGTCTTTGTGGAGAGCCAGGCTGGTGGTTTGACTTGTCTTGGCGATGCAGCTGACGCGGACGCTCCCGCCGAAACCTCCTAAGAGAGTGCTTGGCCATCCCGTGCATCCCATGCCAGCTGGAGAGAGCTGTCCTCTGCATCAGCACCTTCATGCTCCAACCGCCGCGCACTCGCCGTCCAGCCTGTCTCTCCTTCGATTGAGCTTCGCCTTGCATGTCGCAGTGAGCCCGAACTGCTTCTGGCCGCTGTTGCGACGCTTCCCTTCCTCTGTACAGTAGGTAAGCCAGCTCCGTGACATTAAGGGATAGCAACTACCAGGCGAACCGTGGCGCGCAGGGAGCATCCACGCTGACAACTCGCCACAGGCACTTACTTCTAATACCATTTTAATACCTCCTTCATCGTAATGGACAACGAGGCCGGCATCCCAGACTTCTCTTACGCCTATGGCGGCGCATCGTGGAACCCGGCATTGCGGTCGGACGCCGAAGGAGACCCTGCCCCCGAGCCGCCCTCGGAACATGGAGAGTTACCTTCAGCGGCATCTCTGCGAGCTAAGGCGCATACCGGCCTTGGGCTTGCGACCGAACAGGATGAACTTCCAGCGCGGCATCACGCTCTCGATAGGCTAGATGCCCAGCACGCGGTATACAAAGAGCCCACTTCGGACGACGACTTCTTCGATCGCTATGGTGCCCCCGCATACGACCTGCCAGCGGCACACCTAGTATCGACACAGCAGGCCGCACATTCAGGGGTGCCGGGACCAACAGGAGGTGGTGACCAGCCAAGTTGGATGGATAATACTGGTTCTCCACCCATAGGACAGGGCATGGAGATGGAGGCTGAGCCGCCACAAAACGAAGACATATCCGTAGTGGCTTCGCGGCACCCCTTCAACTCTAGTCCGCCAGTTGCAGAACCGGAGAGGGAAGAGGCCGAACCTCCGCCAGAGGAGAATTATGAACACCAGGGTGAAACCACCTTGCTTGAAGAGGCGGTCAACGAAGACGTTACGGAACCATTCTTCGACCACGCAGATCAACAGGATGTTGCACTCAGCGCAACTGGAGCTCCTCTTGTCGAGGACGACGCGAACGCCGAAGAGGATTCGGAGTCGGATCAAGAAATCAGCGAGCCTACTACGGATCTTGAGGCGGTTAAGATGCAGCCATCTTCTGAGCATCGTGAAGAAACAGGTGTAGGTTCTGAAACAGCAGCAGGCATTTCTGGTGCGGTTGCGTCCGATTGGGAAGCTACAGGACTCTCAGGCGGAGGTGATTCCACGTCCTGGCTTCAATCCGCGACAACCGAAGGAAGGTCCACAACTGCTACAAGCGGGATGGGTTGGGGCCGGTCTCGTGATGCACCTGTATTCGATGGGACCTTTGAACAGCAGCGGGCTCTTGATCAGAACGGATTGGTTTCAACGGAAGACGATACAGCAGCTAGGGAAGGCGATTCATTACTTGGCGAGCCGAAGCCATTCGCTGTTGATTGGGATCAATTCGGCGACGATGGCTTCAATTTCAGCAGTGGTGTTGTACAGGCCCGAAACGAACCTCAAGAATCTCAACTAGACAGCACTATACATCCAGGATCTGACACTGACGCGCCACGTGCTTCTATAGAGATTGATCCGAGCATGCAACCGTCGACTGAGCAGGACCTGGATGCAATGTGGAAAGCCGCCTTGGAAGACGACGATCTTTTAATAGATGATGCCACTACCGCACACCCCGGCGTGTTTTTATTCGATGATGATGGAGAAGGCTTTCTTCAAGAGGATGCAGGCGTACCGGCGCACCAAGATGGGAACGAACTGCTCCCGATAGCCGGGGCGAACGGTATCTCCGCAGTGTCCATGGAGAAGTATGCACCTGTATCTACGCAGCGGGCGGCGCCCGCAACCACCAACCCCTATCTGCCGCAGAGTCCTCAGTTCTCCGATTTTTCAAAGACTGACCAACGACCCGCAACCTTGAGGAACCAAACTTCTGCCTACGGTGCCTACTCAAACGCAGCGTACGGGCAACCGGCCCCATACCAGCAGCAACAGACCAGACCACCCGCAGTGAGCTCTGCACAAAGTTTTGCCGACAAGGCGAAAGGGGGCTACCACTCGCCTTATGACCTCCCGGAAGACATCTCAAAGCCTCGCCGACGGGCACCGGTACATGCTACGCCTATCGCTCAGCCTACACCTCCACCGCCGCGTAGTAGCAGCATGCAGTCGAACATGTCTGCCGGCCCGTCCAGGCCGCAAGCACCGCCTGTTTCGAACATGTCCTCCACAACTTTGTCACCACCGTCGTCCAGCCACTCGACTCAAGCCCCGGCAACCGCTCCGGCTTACGATACCGGCACTGTTCGTCGCACTACGCAGCCTACTCCAAAGCCGAGCGCTAGTGATTTTTTTGCAGACCTACCGGTCGTGACCAAGCCTCGACCGTCGGGAAGATATACGCCGCAGGTTACGGCTCCCACGCCCCCTCAATCACAGGGTCCACCGCCACTGCCGCCGAATCGTGCTTCATCTTTCAGTGCTCCAACCCAGCAGATGCAACCGCTCACTCCACCTTCAATTCCTCAGTTTCAGCCGCCTGAGCGACTTCCCGCGTTTCCAGATCGGCCTTCAGTGCTCCCTCGTACGACGACAATGCCAGCCCCGCCGCAAGTGTCACGGCAGTACTCTCCAGCACCGCCGGCGGTCCCACCTGTCAATGCACGATACTCGCCCGCCCCTCCTGTTGTTCCATCAGCAGGACCGCGGTACTCGCCTGCTCCCCCCCCCGGCCCTGCTTCATCCGTGCATAACAGATATGTTGCTGAACAGGGTGCCCCGCCAAGACCTGCTCCTCAGCCTTTTGCACCAAGGACGTCAAGCCCCCTTGCGCACCACACGACCCCACAGCAACAGCCGCAGCCTCCACCATTTTCACGCTCGGTGTCAGTTCCTGATGCCCAGCTACAAGCAGCTAGCATGCGGAGCGTAGACAACCGGACGGCAGCTATAATGGAAGAAAGCCTAGATGAAGTTGGGGAACTTCACCAGTCAGCACAAGTGACCAGCCCATCAGCTGCATCGATGCACTACCAAGCAGATGCTCCATCCAAGTCCACGACTCCTCCGCCTCCGCCACCCAAGAGCGGACCTCCTTCTGCTGCAAGTTCACCCAGGAAGCAGTCAAAGTACGCGCCTCAGCATCAGCCCTCCATCCCGAGCTCTGAACCTGGATTTGCCCCACCTCGAAGATCACAAACTCAGTCTCCAGGTGCGACAATGAAGAGACCAAAGTTAACAGGATTGATCCCGATCGAGCGACCCGCTTCTGTACACGGTCCTACGTCGCCGACTTCTGCCGCTGCAGTACCTGCCATTCCTCAGACTCTTCCTCACCGACGAGGCTTCTCACAAGACATATCTTTCATTACGCCCACAGACGAACGGGCACAGGATCCGCTTGAACGATGGAAAGGCTGCCCAATCTTTCGCTGGGGGCTCGGTGGTACTGTCGTCACGACCTTCCCCAAGCAGATCCCTAGATATGGCGCCGGTCATGCTGGCCCGATGATAAAATGCAGCCCAGGCGAGGTGAAGCTGCAAAGCGCCAGGGACTTCAGCCCCTTTGATGAAAAACTTGCCAGGTTTCCCGGGCCTCTAAAGGCAAAGGGGAAGAAGAAGGATGTCATCACGTGGCTCAAGACAAGTATTGAGAGCATGGACAAAGACCTACAGTCTTCCATCCTTCACAGCCCTATGCCTGCAGACGCGCTCAAACGCTACGAGGAGAAGATCTTGCTATGGAAGGTCATGCAGTTGCTCGTAGAACACGACGGCCACCTTGAGGGGAATGACGCTGTCCAGCAAGCTGTGCGAAAGGTTCTTTCGCCGGAGTCTGAGAAGGCCGAGGTCGCAACCGATGCTTTTGCTACCGGCGCGCAGTTAGTGGGCATGGCGCCGACAACCGGGCCACAGGTACAAGCCGACCCTGTGGACCCGCGGGCTCTCGATGAGCTACGCACATATCTCGCCAAGGGAGATCGGAAGGGCGCGGTGTGGCATGCTGTCGACCAGAGATTGTGGGCTCATGCCATGCTTATCTCGTCAACACTGGAAAAGGACGTCTGGAAGCAGGTCGCGCAAGAGTTTGTGCGACAAGAGGTCAAGAAGTTGGGCGATAACACGCAGCCCCTTGCAGCATTGTACGAGATCTTCGCCGGCAACCTCGAGGAGAGCATCGACCAGCTTGTGCCAGCATCAGCACGGGCCGGGTTCCAGATGGTCAGCAAGGCTGAAGGCGTTGGTTCGACGAAGAACACGCTCGAAGGCCTTGACCGCTGGCGCGAAACACTCGTATTAGTCCTCAATAACCGCAGTGAGAGCGATGTCACAGCTATTCTTACTCTCGGCAAGTTGCTCGCAGGCTATGGGCGGATCGAGGCAGCCCACATCTGCTTTCTTTTCGCGAGAAACATCGTCTACCTGGGCGGCGCGGATGACCCCCAGTCTAATATGGTGCTCATCGGCGCAGATCACGTACATCAGCCATTCGACTTCTCCCGAGGCATGGAAGCCATCTTGCTCACTGAAGTCTACGAGTTCGCCCTTCTTCTCTCTTCAGCGGCACCAGCCATTCCTCATTTGCAGGCATACAAACTCCACCACGCAACGATTCTTGCATCGTACGGCTATCGCAATGAAGCACAGCAGTACTGCGACGCCATCGCTGCTGCGTTCAAGTCAACTACAAGAATGTCGCCGTATTATCACCCCAGCTTAATTGTTGCACTAGATGATCTATCCAGACGTCTTTCACAGTCACCACAAACGGACGGCAACTCATGGATTTCCAAGCCAAGCGTGAACAAAGCTTCAGGCTGGGCGATGGCGAAGTTCAACTCCTTTATCGCCGGCGACGAGAGCGATGCTGCGAGTACCGGCTCCGGTGGAGCTGCTGGCGCCGAAGTCGGTCCCTTCGCCAAGGTCGCCGGAGGCACTCCCACAATCAGTCGCAACGCGTCGGCTACTGATCTTTACGGATCTTATACTGGCGGTAGTGGAATGATGATGTCTCCTTCGTCCACGACAACCGCCGGTAACTCGAGATATGCGCCTGGCGGCGGGGCATACACGCCGCGTACTTCCTCCGACCACCCTTCCTCGTCCCGCTATGCTCCTGGGGGCGCGCAGGCGTATCAGCCTAGCAGGCCTTCAGTCGAGTCTCAGCGCTCCAATGATGGCGCCCAGCGACGCGGCTCAGGCCTGGGTCTCACGATGCAACGACGATCAGAGTCGCCGGAATTACAGCAAACGCAGTCCAATACCTACCTGCCGTCCCCACAGTACAGTCCGCCAAGACGGAGCTTGCAGGCGCAGCAGCAGGGTGGCATACATTCGTCTAGCATGAGGGCAGAAACCAGTCCGTTGCGAGCGGAGTACGGAAGTCCCTACATGCCCACGCCACCGGTTGAGGACCCCTCGCACCTTGCTGATGCTGAAGGCTATATGCCGCAAGACTATCAGCCGCAGAATTCAGATCACGATCCTGCTGCATCTTCCTTTGACTCCCCTGCCGCCTCTTATGAGCCTCCGACATCCTCCTACGAACCACCCTCCTCGAGTTATGAACCGCCGTCCTATCAGCCCTACGAACCGGAGCCGCCGCAAGCCGACACACGAGCCTCTGACGATAACTCTTCAGCTCAGCCAAAGAAGAAATCGTTCATGGATGACGACGATGATGACTTTGAGCGGCGCGCAGCCGAGCTGAAGAAGCAGCAGAAAGCCCAAGCCGACCGGGAAGCAGACGAGGCTTTCCGGAAGGCTGCGGAAGCCGATGGTAAGTCCCCTGCCCCTTCGTTCTTGTCGCTCGTGTGCCCCTCATTGTCTCGCCCTGTTCTCGCTATACCTCCATAAGACAACAGAACTGACCACCTTCTACAGCAGCAAAAGACGCTCCCAAGAAAGCCACTACCGGCTGGTTCGGCTGGCTCAAAAAATCCGAAGCGACGGACGCGCCCAACAAACCCATAAAAGCCAAGCTCGGCGAAGAAAACTCCTTCGTCTATGACCCCGACCTCAAGAAATGGGTCAACAAGAAAGCAGGAGCCACCGCCGCCACCCCTACAGCCGCGACACCTCCCCCACCAAAAGGTCCTCCCATGCCACGCGCTGCAAGCGGCGGCGTCACTGCCGGCTCAATGCCCCCGCCAGGCGCACCGGGCAAACTGGGTCCACCTCCCGGCGCCCTGGCGTCGCGGAGCGCGAGCATGCCTCCCCCTTCAGGGCCGCCTCTCTCGCGGTCCGCGACCCCCGCACGCGAAGGCTCGCCCGCGTCGAACGCGGATGGAGACGCGCCGCCGCTTAAGCCGCAGGGTGTTGCGGCGTTGAATGGGCCGCCGAGTGCGCCGCCCAGCCGACCGGGTACGAGCATGAGTAACGCGAGTAGTATTGAGGATTTGTTGGGTGCGGCTGCGCCGAGGAAGGGGGGGACGGTTAAGGGGAAGAAAAGGGGTGGACGGTATATTGATGTTATGGGGCAGAAGTGAAGAGGCTGTTGTAGCTGGGGGAGGAGCGACGCTGGACTTGCAGCGGTGCTTCGGCGTTTGGGACTGGAGAAGGTTACATCATTCAATCTTGGGCTACAGGCCGTGGGGAAGCCTGGCAACGCGCTGGTTGCGTATCATTAGTTGATAGGGTGAATCCTGGCACGGAATCATAATACTCCATCTTTGCTCTGTAAATATAATAATTGAGTATCCGAAAACCTCGCGCCGGCTCAGAATATCCATTTCGCTCACATGCTAAGGGTTTTGCGCGACCGGCTGAGAAACTCACTTCCCAATAACCGCTAATCAGAAAGGCGCTCTTCATCGTGAGGACTTCGAAGCGCATTACTGTCTGCGATCAATGCCTAGTAAGCTCTAGTCTTAACTGTATGAAGCCTCCTGTGTCCGGATTAATGCACGCGTAAAGAAATCCGCTGTTCATATGGTGTGGCATTATCACGAATGCGTGATTATTGAAGCCAAAGCTCCTCTACCTCATCAGGATACGCTGTCACGAGCTGTTCTTCATTCATGATACCCTGAACGTATGCGGCCCCAACGAGTTTGTAGATTGAACCTCGACGAAACGTTGGTCGTAGTATGAAGGCCGACTGGGTCCCTCTGATGAGGCAAACACAATCACCAGCCCGCGTCGTCTTAGCAGCCAGGCCGAAGTAGCCATTCTCGGTCGTGATAAACGACCGCCCGATGCAGCGCGCCATCGCCGCGAAGCGGTAACCTCTAACCAGCTCCAATTTCTCAGATTCTGTCATTGCTTCAGGCTTGAGATCTGGGCACCCTATCCACACGTTCAAGCCTGATCCAAAGGTGCAGCGACGCGGGTTTTACTCTGCATGAAGGGAGCAATTTTCGTGCCCGCATCGAAGATGGTTGCGCCGCCTGTGTGGTCGGTGGAGCTGCGAATATTGCGGATGTACGTCCCGCCATCGAATAGGACGGTGTTGCCACTCTCCATAGATTGATGATGTATTGGATGAGAACCCAATTACTTTGTTCGTTGCCCAAGCCACAAGGTGGTATACATGGGCCAGGCGGAGCTGGCAGTACAAATGGTCCTCATTGTCGAGTGCGGCCGGCACCGATCTATTGCGAAGCTCGTTCCAAGGAGGTCTACGTCCGCCTCTGTTCAAGCGTGAAGCTTATATTGTGGTTTAACAGAGGCGTCCGGTACTTCTTGAAGGATTCCAAGCCGGCTGGGTTCTGCCCCGAAGGTAGCGAGTTTGTATTGGGCTCTCAAATGAGATGGTACTAGGCGTCGCGGCGGTTTTCTGACATGGAGATGGGCCAGGGGAAGGTTCGACGAGACTGGGTATTGGTACTCAAGTTATGGGATTGGATCGACGTTCTGGCCGAGAGCTGAAGGCTGCTGCAGGCGGTCTTGTCGGGAACAAAAAAGTTCGGTGACGGTGCGAACGATGCACTTTGGGGTCAGCCGATCAGGTTCCTCCCGCTGCAGATCTCCCGCTACAGATCTCCCGCTGCAGGGTGTCGATTGTGGTCACGGTTAATCTGTCGTTCGGATATTTAGTGCATCATGCAACCGCGGCGCCCCATATTGGTCGAAGTAATCGCCGCACCCGGACGAAATGCAGAGTAAGTGTTGTTGATGAGTGCCCACGGGAAATGCTTTCGACGTACCATGGTGCGGGGAGTTACTTACCGAATCTTCGCAGGCTCCTTCCAACCACGGGACGATCCTATCAGGGGTGAGCCAGAGTAGGTATATAGGTAAGCGCTTCTCGCGCGCGATTTTCAACGGACACATTCCCCTCTCGTCAAGCCTTTCTCATCAACTGCAAACGCCTTATTCTTGCCATTCGCCCGGTCCTCCAGTTCCCTGATCGTAATGGACTCAGAGAACATGAACACAAGCGAGCACTTCGAGAACATCGAGAGGCTTTTGCCTTCTCCAGCAGGTATACAATGCGCCCAAAAGTTTCACGCCCGTTAGCTTATTGTAGTCCAGTCGACAAGGTTGCATTCATGAAGTGCCTCCAAGAGCTCTTGGGAGATCAGCCTGATCAGATGGCCGCCTTCGTGAGATGGCGCGCCTCCCAAGAGCGTCGCACTCCGAGTCCGCCACCAACCCCCGCATCCGAGATCCTCTCGCAAATCAAGCTACTCGATTGCCGTCAAGAGTACAGGGTGGTGGCGCTCACCGATGTCGTTTATCTAGGCACGGATGTCGACATACCGTTGGCAAAGGACGATTCCTTCGAATACATTATCCGAACCGGTGGCCAGATGCTGGACCAGCTATGCGTAGCTCCGGCTGTAAGCGATTCGATGGACCTCCACGGGTGTATAACCGAGCTGCATACCCCTCCGTCTCTCCCATCAGCGCCAGCCCACGAGGTGTCACTTCCAAGATTTGTCCAGGATTTTGGCCACCTCTGGTACAAAGATCTGCGCAATGAAAAATCCGCTGCCCAAGGGTTCAAGGAAACCGACTACATCGCCGTAATCGATGTCACCACCCCAAAGAAACCGGTTTGGCTCGTATATGACTATTGCCCAGAGAACCCGCTAGGAGATCGGGAGCCGGTGGTTCTTGACCATATGGGATGCCAGCGCGCTGTATTCCCAAACGTCACGGCACAGTTTGATACGGCGCAAATCCTGGCTTCAGTGCATAATTGGAACGATGGGTTGACCCCAAGGATGATCGAACGTCGTATAAACGAGACTGGACGAGTTGCGGAGCCAGTACCGAGGATATCCAATAGATGGACGCTACTTGCAGCAATTGATCACGAGTGGAGTCGATAGCAGCGTTCGGAGACGGTCGACTCATTTACAAGCAACGCTGAATGAGTCTGACCTCAACTATGAGTGTTATCTGTGCAGTCCTGCTCAAAAGCAGCGGATAGATCTGATCGCGGTCTGAAGAACATTTAAAGCTCTACACGCATCGCAGTTTCATAATGGGGTAAGATTTAGTATCAGAGCGCTCTCCCTTTGTATTTACTTGAAAGCAAGAATACTCTCGCCTTTCCAGAGTTTTCTCTTGACTGCCTCGCGCAACCGCCGTCCCTCGTCGGTCTTCTCCTTTAGATTCTCAGCCTGCAAGAGCGCAAGCTTGTAGCCTTTTTGCTCGTCGTTGAAGTTGGGCCTTAGTTCTATATGCGCTCCGCGCTCCTCTTCTGCATCTCGCTCTGGGTTGCGGATTTTTGTGAATGCCTTCGTAAGATCCTCCTTCTGTAGCCCAAGCTGACGTTGGAGCCCTGGTGATACGTTACGCTTGTCTGTTAGGTCCCGAAACGAGGAAGTATAGCTGGCTAGTGGTTCCACTTCGACGACGTCATTTCTGTCGGCAAAGTCAACGACATCAACTATCGAGGCTTCCACCGCTAGAGTCCTGAGGCCTTCAGACGCGCGGAAAACGTGATGCGACCGGAGCTCTGTGCCCTCAAAAGTCCATGGGCAGTGCTGCGATGTGTTCACTGGATACGGGGAATAGCCGTAGCCGAACATAGAACTGACTTCCGAAACCGTTGTTCAGTCTGGACACCAAGAAGGAAGATCTAAGTTCGGGCTGGTCTCGTCTTCTGCACCGATTAGGATATTCAATCCCATCTCATTGTACATGACCACAGTAGCTTCGAGCACCACCTGGCTGTCTGACTTGGTATACTCATTCGTTCCCGGCTTCTTCCTGCAGTCAACGCTGATCTCGTTTCGACTGCTTTCTCGGATGAGACCCAAGAGAGCATACACTCGGTCGCTTGTCTCAGTGGCACGAAATGTCCGGCACCGTGAAACCACCACCACAACGGGATGCCTGCCCATTCCTTCTTGATGTCTTTGAACAGCATCCGGTGATAGGGAACCCTTGAGACATACGCGAGAAGGGCGAAGCGCTCCAGATTGAGTTTCCGGTACTCCGCAAAGATATATGCCAAGTCGACGAACTGCTCTAGCTTTACCTCTCTCGCGCCGTACTTGACGATTGGAGCGTGCGAAAGAACTGCTTGACCCACATCCTGCTCCATCACTGTCGCTGGAAGAGCTCGTACAGCGCCTTCCAGGCCGAGTCCTCAGCATTGTAGTTCTCAAAGTCCGTGTCCAAAATCGTCGAGACGAGATCCTTGGCCAGGGCACTGTAGTCTGCTGCATCGCCTGGCCAGATAAAAGTTTGCTCGGCGCTCGAATAGATCTTCTCCATCAATCGTATCTGGTGCTCCTTCTCAGTACTGTCCGCCTGATTGTTACTGACAGCATCTATCCAGATGTTGCGGGCTTTTTTCCGCTGGCGTGAGCTTTGTCTTTGTAGCGAGAGCTTCGTCTTCCTTAACGAGCTGTTTCAGAGCATGTTCCAGATCGATTGTGATCTTCATAGCGACTCCGTCAAGCTGGAGAGGCACAGTCTTTTCCGGACCTCCCCAGACGTAAGACAAAGCGGAATACATAGGAGCATCGTGCAGGGATGCGGCGCGGAGCTCTCCAATAAGCTGCTCGTCAAGTGTTCGAGTCACGGAGGGCAGTCTGATTCCTTGCTTGGATGGATCTAGTGGCTTTGAGGCATAGACACTACGGACTTTGACAACATTTTCATGCATTTTCACCGTGCTAGAAAGACAACGCAGGTATCCGTATCGAAGTTCCGACCGCTTGCAATCACAGCGGGCCTATACAAGCCGAGCTCCCACCGTACAAGATGCGTGGAAGAAACAGAGGATTAGCTAAAAGTCCGTTTTGTTCCCTTTTTGGACAAACGGTCCAAATACCGCCTTCTCTTGATTGATTCGCAAGCCGTATTCAAACACCAGCTACTACGAAGGATGGGGATTCTAGTGAGGAAGCGGTGTCCGTAACTAAGTGGCAAGAATATCACAACTTCTCCCTTGTGAAATCAGTTTCAAAACTCTGCATCTCTCGTAGACGAGAAAGCAGGCAATTCGGCCGTGTATTACGATATGAAAAGCGTATATATCAGTTGTGGTGGCTTTTCGATAGCGATTTGATCACCGGCACCGCTTCCTCACTAAGAGCCCCGCATACACTTGACAATATATACTAAACCGCATATAGCTCGAGGTTTTCAGATCTTGGCATGGTGTTGAACCTCAGCCTTACCCTGAAAACCGACAACTCCGTCAACACCGACCGCGCCACCAGCGCCTGACTCCCCTCAGCCCCCCTCGTATCTCGCTGCCATCGTCGCATACTTTCGTCGCATACTTTCCTCGATCCTGTTCCACTACTTCTGGCTCTTCCACCACTCCAGGCGCCTCCAGCACAATGCCGTGCTGCTCCAACGACCGGAGCTCCTCGAACTGGGCGTTATACCAATATAGTACTAAACTAATGCATATATGCTTAGGCTAAGGTATTCTGAAATATATATATATCAGTAAAGTCACGTGCGCTGTAGAGTGAAGCAACGACTTTTCGCCCCCACCCCGCGCGCGCATCTGAGTACACGAAGGATTCGTCTTTCTGGGTATAAGTAGAGCCATCGCGGTAGACATATCTTCCACTGTTTCTACAGCTCCCTTCACCCCAGCCATGACCGATGTCTCTCGGCCTCGAAATCGACACCCCCGCACCGTCCCCCTCCAAGTCTTGTCTCTCGGACTGCCACGTACCGGAACAAAATCTATGCAAGAGGCCCTCCTGAAGCTCGATTTCAAGCACACATATCATGGCTTCGATATGATCGACCACCCCGAACACATGCCGCGCTGGGAGGAGGCGACGGATGCGAAATACTTCAAGAAGGGGAAGCCGTATGGCCGCGAAGAATGGGACGACTTGCTGGGCCATTGCGCGGCTACAACGGATTCGCCGTGTGCGCTCTTCTGGGAGGAGTTGTTGGAGAGTTATCCGGAGGTGAGCAGTGCACTGCGCCATCTTTACCTCACCCAGTCCTTGTGTCACATCCATTGCTAAGATCTCACCGTCCCCAGGCTAAAGTAATCCTCGTCCAACGAGACATTGAAAAATGGTATGCCTCCTTCGACGATGGCGTAATCTCCTCGACCTGGGGCCCCGGCACCGATATCATTGTGAACTATATCGAGCCCGCGTTGGGCGTGAACATCGGACGGACATGCCGCAAGATGCTGCTTGGCTTCTTTGGCGCCTCGAATCCCGACGAAATCCGCCGGAATGCCCGAGATGTGTACCTACAGCATTACGGAAAGATAAGAGCAGCGGTACCAAAAGAGCGGCTGCTAGAGTATCAGTTGGGCAGCGGATGGAGTCCGCTCTGTGAGTTTCTGGGGAAGGATGTGCCAAAGGAGGAGTTTCCTTGGGTCAACGAGGCTGCAGCGCTGAAGGAGAAGATTGATGCGATCAAGAAGGAGAAATTCCTTGCTGGGGCAAAGATGATTGCGCCGGTCCTGGCAATGGCCGTTGCTGCAGTCACATATTGGTATCGCCGATGATATTCGATATTTGCGTTGCATTATCCGGGGCCAACAAGGAACTCTATGTTTGAGGAATTTCACGACGCGTACGACGTCCGGCGGAAGAGGGTTTGCCTGAAATAATCCATCGGTCCATCACTCCCGTTTACAACCTAGCATAGCACACAACAGCGGTGTTTATGACGTCGCAAGGAAAGCGATTGCCGGGGAGTTGGGAGACTAGGATGCCCTGGGCGGGAAAAGCCTCACCGCGGACAGAGACTTTCAGAGCTACGTCAACAACAGAGCTCCCTTCATTATCAACATAATGCTTTACAGCAAGGTCTAAATAGCTATCTAAAGGCTTATCATTCCATCGGCCACCCTCAAGACTAACTATAGCGGCTAATCGTCAATCACTTCGTTGAATTGACGGTAAACGAGCGCTGCTGCTGTCGCGCTGAGAATTCTTTCCTGCCTGATGTGGCTGGTCTCCATCGGTACTTACGATAGGTATTTCTAAAGGCGAGCGGGGCTCTAAGCAGATTTCCCATATACGTAAGGTAGCTTCCTCCTCTCTCGATTGAGGTTCTGCTCCATCCTGTGTCTTTCCCTCGGCTCCAGCCGTTTTTTCCTGGTAATCGGCAACAATATATTACAATAACGTTGCAATTCGACAATCAGACACCGAACCAGAAGTTCAAGGTCGCCGCCGTGCACGCCGCTCCTGTTTTTATGGACAAGGCAGCTACGACGCTAGAAGTTTCACGACTGATTAAGCAAGCTGGGAAGGAGGGTATCAAGCTGCTTGTCTCTCCTGAAACATTCATCCCCGAATGCTATCCCCCACTGAATCGAGTTAATGCACTCGCAAAACGCGCCGAGGAAAGCGTTGTGATGGAGAACGGCGAGGAAATCAGCCGAATTCAAGCTGCCTGCCGCACTGCAGGGGTTACTCTAAACTTAGGCATTTCTGGAGCGTGTCGCCGGCGGCTACACGCTATTTAACTCAGAAGTGACGATCGACAGCAATAGTATCATCCTGGATGTGCACCGCAAGCTGCGCCTCCACGAAGCAGGTAGAGGACAGGTGTAGTAGAGGGAGAGTATATACCTTAGCAAACAGCTTATTTACCTGGTCACATGCAGAGTTTCGGAAACACTTGATTGTTGCAGTCGTTGATAATCTGACTACTCCACTCGCGTACGCTTATTGCAACTTCGATGGCTGTTAGATATCGAAAAAAAGGCAACACATATCATCTCCCTAGCCCAGAGCGCCTCCATCTTTAAATCTTCAGCTAGTGGCCCATTGCAATCGTACCACCACCGTGTTGCTTCTCATATTCTTTGCGGGCTTTAATAATGTCTTTACGTTCCTTTCTCAGCTGACGAGCATATCTGACTCCGAAGCCATGCTGGAACACTTCAGTAGTCTCCTCCAGAGTTAGACCAGAGACTTCTGGGTAGAAGAAGATGACTGTTCGCGCCTATTAGAACCTATCTTTGAGAAATGCTGTCGAGCACTTACCTAAAACCCAGCCAATACCACAAATAGCGGCATAGAAGCCAAAGGCGCCAGATGGAGTTATGCCTTTCATCATAGAGAGGAAAGTAGAGGAGACGATAATGTTGGAGCCCCAGCAGCAACACGTCATCCTGTGTAACTCAATTAGTAACAGAATACGAGTAATCTCTTCGCGAAAACAGTGAAGGAGACTGACCACATTGTTCCCATTGCACGAACCTCCATTGGGAAGAAGTCGGTGCTCATCCAGGCAGTATTGCCAACCGAAACTCCGTAGAACAACACGAACCAGATAATAAAGACCAGCACAACGATCGCTGGTGCAGAGATCCTCCTATCTTGAACCTCAAGGGTCTCGGTATTGACTGGGATGAAACTAAATGCAACGGCCACGGCAAGAAGGCCTGCGGACATGCCCCACACTGTGCATACAAGGACTCGCCGCCGACCAAAAGGATCGACTGTCATCATGTTTACCCAGGTCATAAAGAAATTGCCGCCCGCAACAACAAGTCCGACAGCAACCGGGTTGGAGAAGCCGACAATGTCGAACAAGGTCGCAGAATAGTACATGAGAGTATTGAAGCCGGACATTTGTGATAGGACCATCAGTCCACAAGCACATACTAAAGCTGAAGAAACGGATTAGTTGGCGAAATATGCATAGGGAGCCACCACAGCTTACCTCGGAAATTGGCGGGATTGGTGTGAAGCTGCTTGACCATTGACCAGCGACTTGTGCCTTGGTTGAGGGCCTTTGACTCTTCGCATGCCGCCTCAATAAGCGCAACCTTTGTCTGGACTTGCTGGGAGCTGGCATGTTTGTAAATTCGTTGTATAATCCGAGTAGCTTCCTCTTTACGTCCATGCCATATCAGTTGACGGGGCGATTCGGGGCAGAAAGGAAGAATGCACGCCAGTATAACGGATGGGACACCGCCAAGCCCAACCATGTACCGCCAACCGTGGGGGACTTGTGCAAAGGCAGCTCCAATTCCGTATGAGATGACCTGACCTCCTGTTATGGACATGTTGTTCAGTCCAATCATACGTCCACGGACATTCGTGGGAGCGATCTCGGCGATGTATAAAGGGACGACCATAGCGGCGGAGCCGACGCCGAAGCCGACAATCAAACGGCCAACGCACATCTGGGCGAGGCTGTAAGCAGCACCCTGGACAACAGCACCGATTGTAAAGAGAAAGCAACTTGTTCGTGTTAGCGGTTTGCTGATCATTTCTCTGTCAATATCTTCCATACTTACCCACAATAGATAGCACCCTTGCGACCAAATCTGTCCGCTGTAAGACCTGCGAGGATGGAGCCGACGAATGCTCCGGCCGAGCATAAAGCCGTGATAAGTTCTTTCTGGCTTGCGGACATCTCATGGCCGTCAAGGTCTGTGCCCAGATATACAAGAACAGCGGAGATACTGAAGAACACCAAGTCAGCAATAGTTGAGCAACGAACTCAGTTGCAGAAATTCTACACACATTCCTGTGTCGTAACCAAAGAGTGCACCAGCTATAGAAGCTGCAAAAGCACAGAGCCAGACAAATGGGCCTGTGCTAACGTTCTCAATTGACTCTTCGGCAGCTTCATCAACCATCTCCAAATGGGTCACATCCGGAAGGGCCATCGCCAAATTAGCTTTATCGAAGCTTGCTCTGGAGAAGGAACCACGCTTTTCAGTCGGGAAGGCGTGCATTCTGTTGAAGCTCGCTCTAGAAACGCTGCCCCTTTCCACAGGGGGGGCCAGGTGGTCGTCCATCAGCGCCATCCTCTATGGATCAATGCGATGGTAGGCTCGAAGCTCGTGCGGAATAAAGATGCGCAAAGTTGAGAAATCGGTCAGTCGCAGAGGCAGCGTTTTATTTGATAAACCGAGAGGTTGCTGGCGAACAGACTGTGCTTATAACCCTGGGCAAAGCTGGGTCTATAAACATCAAGCTACCCATATCGGCTGCAAAGGTGTGAATCTTAAGAAATCCATGTGAAGAGAGCATGGGATGACCTGCATAACACACCTTGTCATAGAAAGAATGAAGATCAATGGGGCGGGAAGAGATTCCCAAACTGAAAAATTGAGTGTTGTCTTCCATCCAGCCTTGTCAACGAGGAATCAACAAGCGATGTCACGCTCGAGTGGCTCTGCCTTACGTGGGCAACTGCTTCCGCTAGATCTAACGTCCCCGTATTTTACCCCGCATCCGTTCGGTCTTATGATGGAGTCCGTTTTGTTAAGCGAGCGTGCCGCAAGCGGCGCCTTACCGGAAAGTCCCTTTCCATACGTTAGGGCACAAGCTGTGGCAGGTTTGATTGGCATGCCGCTTACAATCCGATGTTACAATAACAACGAGCTCGTGCAAGTCTGCCGATACTCTCTATAGGAAGTCGGAAGAGTGCCGAGAACGTTGGACGGGAATAACTGCTACAGTAGTAAATAAAGTGAACTCTCGTTCCGTTGACTGTGCAATCGATTCCGAATATATTAGAGATATGGGACTTGCCCACCACACCACCGCGCCGATCAAAGGGAAGCCCGAAGAGCTTAGATCGGGCAAGTTGCTGTTACGAGCATAGGGCTTACCCTCTGCGCCAGAACATCTAAAAAGACAATCTGAACCGATTGATCCAGAATCAGGTAAGTTGCTACATACTCTCAGAGTTACTTAACACCCGAGCCGTGAGCGAATGAAGACTGGGCGCGCAAACGCGAAGAGCAGACGAGCTCGCAACACTACACGTCGGTTGCCGAAGACACCGGACGTGCCATTGTAGAGCAGAATGATCGACGCGCTCGAGGTGCAGTAAGTTCTCGAAAACCGCATACTCCCGTCACAGACTCCGAGGAGCGGCGCCAAAAAACCCTCAGCAGTCGTCGATGTGATGACCGAGGACACGGAACCTCCGTGGTACCGGCGCGCTGGTCGAAATGTCCACTGTGGAGGTGTTTTCGAGACCTGCCATGTTTTGTCGCCGGGCACCGCAGGATACGTTTATAGTGATCACAAACACCTCCAGAGGCTCTAGAGACTCCACCGGCAAATCACCCTCCTAACGCATTCATCTAATATACACCAGAGCACTTCTTTGACAAGACCGCGCCGCCATCTGCCTCCGTGCCTTCCAGGTTGATGGCCCTTTGGACGATTTCCATTCCAGGACCATCTCTTCGACTCTTATGCTGTTCAGGGTTGGAGACAGTGTGCAGAATACGCAAGCATAAACTACCCGTTCCGCTTTCCTTTGAAGTGTCCTTCGGTAACTCATGCCGGGTTTACTCACCCCCTTGGCCGATCCGAGCCCGATCACAACGCCGCATACAAGGGTCCAGGAGGAGTGTCGAGGCGCGAGATTCTCCGGCCTGCTGTTCCGAAGTACCTGTTGAGGAGAGATTCTTGCGGATGACAGCCAAGGGGATGGGGCCTCCCTTCGGCACAGGGTCCGTTTGGGGCAGGAGCCGCGTCTGCGAGTTTGCCAGTCTTGGACACGGTCCGTTGCGTCAAAAAGCCACCAGCACACTATGTATCTACCGGCCGTGGGAGGGTTCTGAGGCTGTCTGAAATGAATGCGGCGGGCTCGGTCACTCTCCTTGGCCCAGTGTCCTCCGTCCCGACTTCTGCGCCTGGGGCAACGCTATGTTCGCATCGATGTGTCTCGCACGTGCCCCCAAGTACTTGTTTAGGACTGGCTCAGCCACTTCTACATGTCCTCAGATTGGCTCTCCGCGGCCTGCGTCTGGGTCCTCGGTGACTCTCCTTAGTCACCCTTTGTGACTGGAGATGATACCATTGCCTCGGCAACTTAACACCTGGTTCTTCAAGACTGGCGATGTCTGTCTCAAGCTCTGTGCATGCAATGGATTGGGTTATCCATACGATACCTGATTGCCAGTGCGGAAGATTTCGTTGATATGATCAATGTAAGCCTGCCTTCTTGCAACAGTGGCGGGTTTGGGCGCCATGCTCGCAGTGTGATGAGGTGAGATGTCTTTAAGCGTTCTTTATTTGGATGCCAGTGCGCTGGGGGTCCTCACTTCGCATACCCATAGGCTTGGTTGCCCTGAACGTTGTCTATTGGGCACCAGACTTTTCCTGCATAGATCCACCCCACGCCAGATTATCTCATCTATGCCTCGGATGCGGACATTGCTATACCACAGGATTCTCTCCCGTCCTCGAGGCGCAAGTCTCCTTTGTAATAGGACAGGCCCACCGAATTCCGCGCCTTTCGCGGATTGCTACTCCAGAATGATCTACGACATCCTTACACGGCTGGACATTGTTCTCAGCTCGCTAGCAGCATCTCGCAGACCGCCATCTTACACCAGCAAGCTCTCCTCCGGTCAAATGTAGTCCCCGAACAACGCATGCCTTTATAATCATCTCTACAACCTCAGCGTATTCTTTGTTGTCCTAGCAGTCAAACAGTCCTTCTTTTCATAACTTCTAGCCCTTGCTGCCTCTCCGAGCTCCAACATCTCGGCTTCGCACTGATTGAGTTCATCCTAGGTTCTGGCTTGAGGGCCCCCATTCTGGCACAGACTCTCCATTGGCGGCAAGAGCCGCCCGATTGCTCCGTTCTCATACTCCCACATTGAATCTTTTAGTATACAAGTCGATAGATGGCTGGGCGGGCAGTTCAGTGAGCATCCTTCGGGGCCGCAGAGCGGAAGAACCGTGTATACTGCCTCCGCTGGATATAAAATCTCATAAGCAAGGTACTGCCGTGCATGCAACCTCCTCCCCTTCTTGCCCTTCTCGCACCCTCCATCCTATCCGCCCGTCCTTCATTCTTCGACCACCCCGCCCCCTCTATCACTCCTTTACACCACCTTCACGCCTCAAGTCTTGCAAGCGCGTTGGCATCAACACCATCAAGCTTCGCGACCCTCACTATCTCTACGGCAAGGCGTTCTTCACTCTCCCGCTACGTGATTATTTATTTTCAAACCATCACGACTATCCGCACGACATTGGTTATGGCGCTGGAGCAACGTTTCATCATAGAGACACTCGATGAAGCCATTCAAGTCAAGACCGACGTGAAGGTTCAGAAACGACTACCGATGTTCCGATGCATACCGCAGCATTGCGCAATCAAGTCCAACATCCCCCGTCAGCGGTATGTCAATCCCTGAAGATGGCTGGAACGCGCGCTATTCTTATCACAGCGTGCCTATGAAGCAAGAGCGGCCGGCCCGCAGAAGGCTCTTGATTGCACTTTGCTTCGGATGAACTTCTTCCGTCTATCACATCCACAAGTTTATGGCGCATTTCGAGCATACGACACATCTCTGAATCAGGACTCATCCACGGAGTGTGGGGCGGTGTTTTCATTATTTTCATCAATCTATCGGCTAGCACAGCGCCAATCGCCCAATGCGGCACAAGCGGCGAGAGGCTTCGTTGATGATGCGCAACTTGGGCGCGTCAAGGATCGAGGAGGCCCACGGGGAGCATAAGCGTTGGTTTATCATGTTTCATCTCAGAGTACTCTTTTCAATCAGGAATTATTCCATTTAGCCTCAAGGCTTGCCTGATGCACTCCCGCACTTGACCGCATGGCCAGTCACATCCCTGGGCGTCGTCGCGCTACTAAAGCCTCCTGCTTGACCCATCTCTTGAACCTCTTAAGGAAGGCGGCTGTGTCCGTATCGCCTCGCTGCAATGTCCAAGCAGTTCGGTCCTGTAGATTCCCAATGCTGATACGCATCTCGTTCATGTAGCTTTGCCGCCGTATGATTTCTTTGTATTGGGCTGGCGATTCGGTCAGCATAAAGCGCGACACGTGTATTTTTTCGCCACAAACTTCGGCTGCGGCATTCGCGTTGGTAGAGAAGGAAGAGAACCACGATGAGAAGGGCGAGGGTAACGGCTATCCACATTTTCTTGCACAGATCTTTCACCGTCCTTGTCGCTGCGGATCTGATGCTGTTGGTTAGCCTCCGCAAGCTTGGGCAAGAATCTGTGAGAGGATCTTACGTCGGTTCAGGCCTTGTCGGTGTGGAATTTACTTTGTCTGACGTCGTTTACATATCACTCAGGGCTGCTTCTGGGCGCTTGGGTCTGTCGATTCAGCGAATGGCATCTCAAAGCGAAGGTTGCAGGTGAATAGTCCCTCGTATCACCCAATGACCACGTGACCTTGGCCATACTTCACGAGACACCTGCACGAAACACCTGCACGAAACACCTGCACGAAACTTCCGCCTGCCCAAGGTTCTTCACCAAATCTCTGCTCGCTCGACTTTCCGCCTTCGTCACGTTTCAGTTCCATACTACTGTCAACTGTCCAAAAACCTGTCTTAACACATCACGAATTCGCCTATCATGGTCTAGCAAGTCCTTAAAAAGCTCAAGCGTAGCAAGACATCAGCGTCACGTACGGAATCTCTCCACTTGTAGGGCACCGCTGATTTGCTGACTGCTCCTAGCTCTACCTCCCTGGATGAAGCATCTTGATGCGATTACGAACGAAGTCCAAGCGGGCGGCGTTGCTGTGAAGCCCTCCGTCCACCAAGCCCTCTGCAAAGCCCTCGCGGCGGCTTATGAGCAGCCGAAAGAGCCGCTCGCCGCGACGAAGGAGGAAAAGCCTAACTTCGGAGCTTGGCCGTTCTGCTACACGATCCATGGACCTGAGTGCGTTCTAGGAAGGCTTCCGGGCCTCCTTTGTCCAGAAAAGCCTGGGCCCGCGAAGATGGCGATCCCATTCGCCGACCTGCCCCCTGTCCGCCCCATCGATAACTGGTTCCGTTCCCCCGACCGGGCTGACCTGCCGCGATTCATACATCTTGGGATTCAACATCTTGGGCCAATGTAAGAGTCTTCTTGCGTCTTTCACGCTGGAGAGAGCTAACAGAGATTGCGCAGCGAATCTGGCAACGTGGCTAACGCGGTTTTCGACTACGTCTTTCCCCCCGGCGTCCGCTCCCAAGATCCTTACCTACGTTACGTTTGGGACTTCTATCGAGATGTGGAGGAGGAGACGTGGATACGCCGCGCCGATGACGACGAACAACTCCTCGAAACACTGTTTCGCATCTAGTGAAACAGACAAACACAGCCAAGACCCCTTGACTAATCACAGCAGCGATTATACAAGACTCCCGCTGTTAAACGTCCAGAACACCTGCCAAGACCTTGGATACCACGGTTCAGCACTTTTGAGCCGATTCGGACTCCCGCTTTAGCCTGCTTTCGCACTCTGCGAGGGCCCTTTCCGCGTTAGTAGATCGAGTCCGTAGTGTAGACTCTCGGCCTTTCATCTGCAGTAGATCGCGTTCGCATCGCTCGAGCTGCCTCTAGAGGCCGTCCCTCTCTTCGTAGGTCTAATTATAATCTCCAAGCACCTTCCGTGCGATATTGTGCGAAACTAAGAGTGTCCGCTCGACCGCCTTCACGAGGGTTTATTGATCCAGTTCACCCCAGTTTTGGGGATATTTTTGGAACGTCATGAGGGCTTTGTGATTTTGTATGATGCTATACAGAGCCTCCCCCTGTACAAGATCTTCGGTCTGTAAACGATTTAAGGTCGCTTCTACGTCTGAGAGCTGCTCCGACAGGCTGCAGAATACGTGTCATTCATGTATTTACATTAAATTACGGCAACACTCATTCATCGGCAATTCGCCAAACGAGTCGCTCTCCGCTGACTTCCTTGCGTCTAAGTGCTTCTAAAGCCGCTTGAGCTCTGGCGAGCAGTGTCGGTCCCTGCACAATCCGATAGTCATTCGGCTTGACAATGCCTTGCGAAAGGACTGCAGGCAAAATGTCTGGCTGAAGGTGCACTGCGAAAAATTCATTCTGTCCAAGCAGTGAACCAAAGTCAGACCAGTCGCATTTCAAGCGGGAGTGCACGGCATACCTCGAGGTAGAAGTGAGTCCTCACTCCAGTTACTTCGACGCCATCTCGCCAGTGTGCTGCGGCTTGGACGTCCATGCTGTACTCCGGCGGGATGTCCTTAGTAGCGTCGCGTACGATGACAGGGAGCATTACAGCGACTTTCGACCCTGTATGTGCGATATCGGAGAGCGGAGAAAGGCTGTGACTTTGCGAGCCGATACAGTCGATGATGAAAGGTATTAATGGCGAGTGACTGGCGCCTCTTTGGCATGACTCCGCTGCGGCGACACGAATTGCTTCTGCAACGCTCGAGTCATTGTAGTCAAAAGTGTATCTAGCACCGAACGACTTGAGACGCTCGTGGTGGCGTTTGGACGCGGTGGTGAAGAGGTTCCGGTAACCATAGTATTTGAGGATCTGGAGCGCGTATGAACCGACGGATGAGGATCCGCCCCAAACCAAGAACGGTGCGTCAGCGTGAGGAGGCTCGTAGTCGGAAGGCTTGGGCCATAGGAGTTGGATTCCGAGCTCAGTGTTAATGGTGTGGAATACGGTGACAACATTGTTTGGAACGGTAACAGCTGCTTCCGGCGCAAAGTTGGTAGGTACCTAGAAGCTTTCAGCAACTCTCAAGAGTATCATCATGAACTAACGGCATAGATACTTTGCCAACTAGATTCTCTGACGTTGTGACGTAGATTTGGTGGGCTTTTTCTTGCTGTGAGCGCCACACGAAGCCGAAAACCTAAGCAGCCAGCAAACGAATGCGTCAGTTTGCTGCGATCAAAACGCGAAATGAATGCAAGGGGACTGTGAAGTCTCAGAACGAAATGATCCACATAGAAACTGTACAATGCACTTTATGATATGGGGATCCAGATTTAGAACACCACTTGCCTACATGCAATGGCACATACAAAGTTGGAATTCATCCCTGGAGATAGATGTAACGTACCTTATCGCCTGCTTTTATTCTTTGTACCCCCTCGCCGATTTCAACAACCGTGCCGACTAGACCATCTCCAAGAACTTGCGGATGTTTCACAAGCAGACCACCGTCGGCTTGGTGGAGGTCTAGCGGTGTAGATGCTGTCCATTCAACCCTGATTCGAACTTCACCTTCAGATGGAGCGACTGTTGGAACTTGACGAATCTGAAGCGGCGCTCGAGGAGCAACTGTGACGACGGCTGAGTGATATAGCATGATTGTCACGATACCTAGGTACGAGAAAAGATAGTCGATTGACTAGAAATGAGCAATGAGAACAGTTCAGCTGTACGTATACCTGCTTTCATAGGAGAAATGAGCCGCTCTTGCCCTTATAAGGACATATGTACGGTCCCGTCATTCACGTAAGACCCTGCATTTGTAATCAAGGGAGCACAGTACCAATGACGGTGCTTGACTTGTTGAGAAACCACTGTGAACTCGGGATTGGTAATAATAAGCTGACTACAGCTGCCTCTTTATCTCCGAACGTTAAAGTGATCATCTCGATTTGTGTATAGTTGGCAAGTCCTCGTACATGGCACAGCTGGCTCGATAAAAGCAGGCGGCTCGGACCGACGCAGGAACCCTGTCCGCTCCGGTTACCAGAGCTGCTGCCAGCCTCCTGGCCGAATGTGAGAGCAAGACACAAGACGCCCATCCGCACTGAGTGCTTCGGGAGGATGTCCTCTTACAGCGAAGGGTCGTTCTCGGCCTGCGCACGTTTATGCTGAACTCGAAGCAGGACGATGCAGCCGCAAGCACGTAAGATTTTGACCTGCATGACGAGGCGCAAGGGCCTCGGAACCCGAAACCACCAAGGGGCCCGTGCACACAACGTTCGTTCCAGTATCTTACCTTGTCCTAGCCTCGTCCGACCGTCTAATAAGCTTACTTTACCTCATCCGACCGTCTAATTATCCTCGCTTACCTCGTCCGACCGTCTAGAGGGCTCGGACGCGGACGGTCGTCTTACTAGACACCCTGTCCACACGGTACTGCTAGATGCTTAGGCAGTCGGTATCAATCAGCCGCGGTGTGCCATCGGAGCTGATCATCCAAGCGTGGAAATCGGACGGGGCGAACTGTGCCGGCGTCGCGTTCGTAACAGCCTCGTCGCGAGCCCAGGACAGGGTTGACCTCCATCCGGGCTGCATGCAGTCCGCCGCCAGGCAAATGGCCAGCCGGTGAGCGCCCACAACATCATGAAGGGCGGAGAGCACGGGTTTGCTGGTCCGGTGGCATTTGGAGGTAAACCGCTCAGTCAACGCGCAGAAGAGCGTCGCTGCGCTACCCCATTCAGTAAGGATTTCCTTATACTGGGCAGCGTCGAATCTACTCCCCTATCAGCGTTCAGCTCCTCACATTGATCCACACTCACTTCAGCCCCCTCGTGAAACTCTTAAAGTCTATAGTCTTCCTACCGCTCACACCTTTTAGCGTTGCGAGCCTAGCCGCAAACTAGCCCAGGCGCTCCTCTTTAGCGGCGCTGGCTGTAAGATGGGGCCGACTGCGCACCTTCTCAGCGATGCATTAGTCAAAGCACGACGCCCAAACGATCCGGCCGAAGACGTCCAGCGCTTTCGCGGCGTCCGCACAGAGCATGTTTCTCCACACCCTGCTCGTGTTCTCTATTAGGACATTAGCTGCGCTGGTGCTAGACTGTGTAGCGGTCGAGAGTGAAAGGAGCCTGCCATTCCATCCTTCGCCCCCAATTATCCCTGGCCGTGCCCAGATGGCATCGTATATCCGCTCCAGCAACTCCCGACCGTCCACAGAGATTTGTGTTTGAGGCTGCCCGCTCCCTGCGCCATCGAACCCCTGAGGCCGGCCCACGGTAACGAGGTAGTCTCTGTTCCACCAAGGTGTCTGCTTCGGAGCGGGCACCACCTCGGGTTGCTGCCGATAAGGGCGTAGACGCCTATCTTCGTTTTGTAGTGGCTAGCTATGCTCTAAGTAGCTCCATATCCTATATCGCCTCTTATGCTAGCTAGACTACCTTTAAGGCTCTACGGCGCTCTACGGCTAAATAGGATGCCAGCTTATGCGTCTAGTCACCCACCACCTAAATTCGACGACCCAGGTCGCTCTGGCCCTCGGCCTGTTTTGCTATCAGGCTGACGACATTCGCCATTTCGTGCACTTATGTTAGTGGGGTACGTATTGACTCTTGGAGCGTTTGTAACGATCTTCGCTGGTATAGAATTCGCTATAACGGCCTGTTCAGAACCGGTGGGCTGACCCTTAGCTGGCCGCGCGCACCTTTCCTAACTTCGAGCTCGTCCTCCGAAGCTTTGTGGCAGTAGTCTTCTTCTCTGTCTCGAGTTTGTCATTAAGGTCTTCTAATGTGGTAAAGCGGGTGTCGGCGAGGTTCTTCTCCGTCTGCAGCTGGGAAATCAAGTCTTCGATCTTGACACAAGCTGTATCAAGTTTCTCCTAAAGCTAGTAGGCCGAGTCGTTTGCCACACGTAGCTTCTCCAAGGCTTAACGGTTTTTCAAGTCCAACACGGCTGCATTATCCACATGGCTTTGATTGTTTGCCAAAGCTGTTCGTTCTCTGTGGTCCTTGTGGATGCCTCCTCGGAATGGGTCTTCACAGCCTGGTCAAATTACTCGCGGAGTTGCCGGACTTCCGTGTTTAGCGCCCACTTCTCATCAGAATAGGTTCTGGCCGCTTGCTCAAGCTGTCTATAGAGCTGTTCAATCTCCATATCACATGTGGTCGCCTCATTAGAGTGAGTCTTCGTAGCTTGCTCTAGTTGTTTGCGGAGTCGCTGATTCTCAGTATACAGCGCTGTCTTCTAATCGAAATTGGCCTGGAGCTGTCCACGTAGTCCCTCAACATCTGCCTTGAGTTTGGTCGTCTCTTCAGAGTATGTCTTGGTAAGGTGCCCGATTTGTTTTCTCGACACAGCCGATTGATCAATGCAGCTTTGGTTTGCTGCCTGAAGCTGTCCGGAAAGGCCGTCCATTTGCGCTTTCAGCTTAGCCTCTTTGCCTGAATACGCATGGCTTGCTTGCTGGAGCTCAGCCTTCGCATCCTCTGCCGTTCGCTCTAGGTGCGTCTTTATTTCTTCGGCTCTTTCACTCCAGCCCCTCATCACCTCGATCGCCCTTCCCAGCCTTTCTTTATAGGCTTTGGCCATTTCCGTTACCTTCCTCAATCTCTCTCCCGCCTCATTCTCTTGCTTGGAGAACTCCTTTCTGTTAATACGAGCTTCCTCGTTCGCGGCATCCAGCTCTTCCGCCACATCTTCAACTTGCTTGTAGACCCTCCTCACATCTGCCTTCAGGCGTCGTATTCTATCGTCTCGGCTCTGGAGTGTGCTGGCTGCCCGACGAAGCTTCTTTTCTGCCGTTTCCGCGCGTGTGGTGACTTGTTTCAGCTCTGCCCTTACACCTTCGATCTCATTCTCACAGCTTTGAGCTGCTTGCTTTGACTCTTTAACTTCCTGCAAGAGGCGTCAGGGTGTCCATTAGTCAATCCGACTCCCGCGGACGAGCTTCGACCGACGATCCCGTTGCGTCGGTCGGAGTGACTTTTTTGAGGCTCGTCCATCCGTCCATATCTTGCTGCCGGATGAGGTCGACGAGGTTGGACGGGGCTTGGCATACTTGGCACAATGTTTATGTTATTTCCAGCAAGTCTTCGGTGGCTCTATGATTGGCTACGGAGCTAGCTGTTCCGCTCCAGATATTCACAACTCTGTAGCAAGGAACCCGGAAGACTCACAGGTTTACCGCGTTTATCTACTCAGCCAGCTGTATACCGGCAATGAGCGCTGAATGCGAACGCCTTTTCAGTCACTGCGGTAACCTTATTACCCCCGACCGCAACTAGCTATCACAGCCAACGATTAAAGCCACTATGTACCAGCAACACTAGCTACGCCGGAACCTAGTTACTGAATAGAGCGCGCGGCGCTAGCGACGTTGTACATCACGACCGGTAGCAAGGGAGCATAATGGGAGCTTAGTAGACACAATGGGAGCTTGGTGGACACAATAGGCAGTGAGGGAGGCTTCAAGGGGCAAGATCTTGTGTATTTTACCTAAGAAAACGCTGCCAAAAGTTATGACACCATGCCAAGCCGTTTTCAGCTCTATCCAAGCCCGTCCACCCTCGTCGAACCGTCCTCACGCCGGCCGGAGCCTAGTCCGACGGTCCTGTGGTGAACCCTTACCTCGGCGGACCGTCCGAGAGCCTTGGACGAGCCCGGACCGACTAATGGACACCCTGAGAGGCGTGCCCTCTCCACATCTAATGACAACGACAGCGCCTCTTTTTCGCTCTGAGCGGTGGCTCTGACTTCGTCCAACTGTTCCGAAAGGCGCTGCCTCTCTGTCTCTCGTCTCTTCGCCGCGTCTTTGGCTTTTCGGAGCTCCTCTAAAGTTTCTTGTGTCTTCGTCTTCAAAGCTCCTGACTCTTTCCTGTGTTCTTCGAGAGCCATCTGTGATGCGTGAAGCTCTTGCCTTATTGCGTCTTGTTCTAATCGCGCACGCATATCGCGGAGTACCTCGACATTTCGGCTGCCCTATGTCCAGTCCCTCGACATCCGGCTGCCCTACATTCAGTCCGGCTCCGCTAGCTGGTCTGATTCGTTGCGCGAGCTCATCTTCAAATTGCTGGATTATAGCCTGGGGCTCGTCGCGCTCCTGTCGCAAGCGCGTCGAGTTTCTCATTCGCTCCGCTTAGGCAAGTGCATACTCGATTCCTCTCCGCTCGAACGCTACCCGGCCTTCAAGGTGGCGGGCCACCGCCGCCGTTAATGACCTACTCGGTATGATTGAGGATGGAGAAGTCGATTGCGAGATCAGCGCGTTACACAAGCGAATCGAATCTTTCCACGCAAATGTACTGGACGAGCATAATCGGTTCGAGGCAAACATCCGGCGTCTCGAAGGACCTATCGCACGGTTACCAAGCCCATCACATCGGCTTCAGTCACGGCCGGAGGGAGCAGAGCCTTGGACAAGCCAGTTAGGCGCGAGACCCTTAGGGGATACACCTTTGCGCGAAGATAGCCAGGACGCAGCAGCCATAACGTAGATGCCGTTAATGAACACGCCGCCGAGGGGATAGCGCGGTCAATCCACGGCGAAAATGGCTCCGGCTCGCCGCTTAGACGGACAACAGACGAGAGCAGCATCCCTGGAGACGATGCTGATCGACACCAGGCAGAGGGCTCACTCGGTCCGCGAAAACGGTGCCGAGTGAGCGGAATATCGAGCCAACTCCATTTCCTGATTTCCTCACCATTCGAGACCCCGACTATGAAGACTTTCGGAGACCTTGAGGCAGTGGCAGACATTCACCGCATTAGGGACGCTCTTAGGACTTACACAAAGCATACGGAGTACTCTAGATGGAAGGATAACACCAAGAGGGCAACGATAGACTGTATGGGCTGCGTGATCATAGCGCATAAACCACCAAAATGGCAACCTGGGGCAGAGCGAAAGCTGGCGTGTGAGTATACTACGCTCACCGTATTATCTGGCGCCGCTGACGAACAACAGGTACCAGTTGTGTCATGAACAAGCGATTGTGCATCATCAGAGGGGAGAAGGGGCAGCTGGTCGCTCTACGACGACACGCACCTTCGCAGAGCTTGCTGCCGTGGACAGAGCTGGACGCATGGATCCAGCCATGATTTCCGGCTCCTTTTTTGCTAACCATAAGCTGTTTCGCATCGGTGAGGATTTTGTCACGTGAGGGCAAGGATTTCATGGTCTATGCTCAACCACAATTGATCGATGCGGTGATATGCTAGTATACAAAGAAAGCGGAAATAGGGACACCACCCTCTACATCTCTATCTCATCTCCCGAGACGAACGCCTTTCGAAGTGTATCCTCTAGTTTATTGAGGAAGTGTTGCTCCAGCTTGCCTCAGGTCAGGTGGTGGAGTAGGTCCGTATCCGCCACGTCTCTTACCAGTTACCAGCTCATCAGCACTTTGAAAAGATTCATCCCATTTGGCCATGATCTCCAGAAAGGCTTGCCAAGTGGGCTCGTCATCGGGATTGCGTGGTGAGACGGGGCGGAGAAGACTGAGTCGAGGGCGCTTTGGCTCGTGAGCGGTCGCATCTGGGCCGACTGGTGGCCGCTTGTTGGGCGCTTGTGCGGTAAAGGCCTTTGGTTCGTGGCGCAGAATTCTTGCCAGAAGTTGCCAGAAGGTGCTGACACTGAGGCAGGGATTGCACGTTGTGCAAAACAGATCGAATATTGGCTTCGGGAACTAGTGACTGTGCTGAAGGAGCAGACGTTTTGTGACTTCCCCTTCATAAGGGCACGGGGTGCGATCTGATGTCACGTGGTTCTAAGCAGCCGGAATCATAAAGTTTGAGCTGGCGACGTATGAAAGGTACCGAAAAAGAAGCCCTTTGTAGTCCCTTACCTCTGCGGCGATGCTCTCTCCTCTAGGCTCTAGCAGCAGCTACAAGGCAGGGACACTTGAAATTCCGCAGTGTTGATGGGGTTAAGATTGCAGCGGTCGAGGAAATTTCTCTCAAAGTCTTCGTCAGTCTTCGGATCCTCCCTTATGGATGGCGGTCGTGACGATTGGCTTGCTCCGCTAAGCGTGACTGTTGAGGTGTCGACCGAATCGGCCCCCAGTTCCTAGACACTTGCATCAACGGTCTGCTGGGACAGGGATTCGGACGGCGGCTGAGACGGGAGCTGCAGAAGTTGGTTGTCGTCGGCCACGCCAGCGTCTCGCATCTCGGAATCCTCATCAGTCGGAGCTGGAGTTTCGGCCCCCCCTCTGCGTACACATCCGCCATCTGGCTGTAGTCGAAAGGGTGAGCCTGCACGGCCTGCTCCTCCACAGGCTGTGATGCATAATCTAGGTGCTGACTTAGATCGAGTGGGTTCCGAAGCGGTCCTTCCAATCCGTCGTGAGTTCTGTGGAGGGTGTTTCTTGAATGCATGCGGCGTCAATCTTTCTTCGTCCATATCTTCGTGAGAAACGTTGGCAACTTGGACGCGGGAGCCATTCTGAGATTCAGCGAGCAGACGGTGTTGCGAAAAGCTAAGTTGGGCGACGGACTACGGAGCGGCGTGTTACTCGCGTGCGCGAGAAGCTTCAAAGGACTAGGTAACGTAGATCTACGTAGAAGAATCCATATCTAGGTCCCGCACTTCCATTCACTTCTCTATCCACTCCTTGGCATCCTATTTTTCTCTTCCACAGTCCAGCATCGCACCCAAGCATCTACCCCAAAGCCGCTCTGTCTTATCGCAAACACTACTCCTTACCTCGAGTCTCCTCAAACCTCATCGCCTAGTCACACAATGTCCATGAACGTCTCTGCGCTAAGAGCCTGGAGTCCGGTCCAAGACTAGTCGGCAAAAGACCGCCTTTTCTTGGAGCAAGCCCACGAAGCCGTAAAAAGCATCCAAATCGCAGGATCAGCTCGCGGCTGGCTTGAGCGTAGACAGAGGTTGGCCTCCACACAAACTGGTGGAAGAAGGGCCTCAATTAGCCAGAAAGCTGTTCGGAGCACATGGACGGTGTATGAACAGCAGTTCCGATATCCAGAGACCCTAGCCAACTCGCGATGGACGTATCTGGTATCGACAGCATACTTAGTAGGCACCCTCGCTTCACTATCACTACGTTTACAGGGCGGAATATTTAGACACCGGCTGCGCGACCTCCCCGACGAGGAACGGTTTCAAAAGGCCTGGAACGCGATGTACGAGTTGTTTGTTATAATGGAAGATGCAACAAGTCGGAATCGTCCAAACATACTGAAGCTTATGGAAATCTACTCCGAAGACACGACGATGCGCCCGGTCCAGAGTCCTATTGACGATGACATGCAGGATGTCGAGTTCGCCACCAGTTACGAAGACCATCACCTTAGCTTTAGTCACAGCCCGAGAGAGCAGAGACTCTGATAAGCCAGTTAGGCGCAGAAGCCCCAGGGGATATACCCTTACACGAAGATAGCCTAGACGTAGCCGCCTCCACCGAAGAAGCCGTGGATGAAGAAGTCGCCGAAACATAAGCGCGGCTAACCAGCAACAAAAACGGCTCCGGCTCGCCGCTTAGACGGTTAATGGACGAGACACTGCATCTGCCTCCAGTGCTTTATTTTGTCGTCCCGGCTGGGCATAGCTTACGGAGGTAGGGGGTGGTTCTTGCAATGGAGTATATCTTGTTTCCTTGGGGCTTGAGCTTGTTGACTGGCTGCGCGCCTCGAGACGCAGTCTGTGGATCCGGAGGTGTGGCTGAGGAAGCTTGGGACGCTGCTTGGTGTGCTGAATCTTAATAGTCGGTCTGGACATGGCGGCTGTGCTGGTTGTGCTGGCTGGGTGAGCATTCTTCGTCATCGGAATTGGGACATCACCGTCTTCCTCTTCGGGCGCGTCACTATGCCGCATCACCACGCCGCGTCAACGGGCGATATTGCAGCTTGTACGACGAGATAAGAAAGAAGCCATTACCGTTGATGCTGGCAACGCCCAAAAAGCGCCAGACCTCGCACCCGGAATCCTCCTTCAAATTGCCCACAGAAGTCTCCCGAAAGCCGCCAGTTGTCCGTCGCCACTTGGAATTCGGTATAGGCCACTCCACGCTACAGCTGACCCATCTGGAAAGCCCACCCTCCGATTTCAGATGCTAGGGAGGTGGTTCAGATTAAGGAAACGCCGAAAGAGCCGCTCGGAGGCATTACTAATCTCCGGCAGTCCCTACTTATGACTTGACCGTGTTGTCTTCAACATCGAACAGCACCGCGGTTAAAGAGATGGGCAGCTGAAGTTCTGGATCCAGTAGCGTACTCGTCCGCTGGCGGATGTACTAGTTAGAGAAGCTACCTTATAGCCTTTCAGCTAGGCTCCACAAGGTTGGTGATGGGTGGTTTTAATCCTACTTGTGTTTATATATGCTTCAAACCTATTATGCAACGAGGCAGCTTCGCGGCTAATCTTTTTACTATCAAAGTTAAGATTCAAGAGTCCAAGGAGATAAACACCACCAATAGTCTCTTGTCCTAGCTCTCCCTCTTCCTTCATAGTTTCTAGTGTCGGCGGTCTATGGACATTATAATCAGGGCAAGCGGGATAGCAGGAAGTCAGATAGAGCAGCTTGATACTTTTCCACAAAGGTGGGTAATGAAACATTACCTTAGTTACATGTCAATGGACGACAAGAGCGTTCATTCTTCGTCTACTATAGTTTAAATACCTCGCTAACAAGCTCGAGCGCACAGAATCAGCATTGAGTCCGATTGCAAACAGTTTCAGATAGATCAGAATCCGCAATAACAAAGCATAAGCCGTGAGACCCTCTCGGAGATTCCTAAGCAGACTACGAAAGCTAACCAACCACTTCAGATCCACAGCTACAATAACGGCGGCGAAAGACGTGCAAACGACGATGCGACCCCCTACACCACTGACGCTGATCCGGATAGCTATCACCCTTCGCCCTTACCCTTATAGCCTTGTTTCTCTTCCGCCTACGCGCATGCGAGTCGTCAGCCGAGTATAAAGAAACCACATAGGGCGGATTTACGTCGACATTAGCATCAGGTCTCTACGGGGCTAGATGGCCTAGACGATGCGAAGAGACTTAAGAGGCCGGTTAGACAGGAGAATATCCTCGGTCTCGCTGTCTTCGATATACTCAAATAGCAATAGACTCTAGAGCGTCGTGGAAAGACGAATCGCGTCCGAAACGAGTTTTAGGACCCAGCAAAGCCGTCAATCCGGAAGGGCTACAGTAGCGGGCAACGAAGCAGACAAAGTAGACGAAGTATAGGAACGGAGGCGGGCAACCTTCCAGAGGATACGCTTGTAGAGTGATCCCCTCGAGTAACATTAGATCCTGCAGGCGGGTCCGCTATCAGTTCCGCCGACGAACAGCTCAGCCCCTAGCTTCTACAGCCCCGGATGTTACCCAGTACCGGCAGTATACCTATAAGCAGCGCAGCACCTGCATTAGTAGCTAGTGCCGCTGCATCAGACAACGACTCCACCGTTCTTACAGTCAGACGGAGCGGCGGCGGGCACGGCAATAGGTTATCGGCTGCGGCGTAGGCTTCTGTCGCGGTCATAACAGCTATGGAAGCAGCTTGCCCGGGGGTTACGACTGGGCCTAGAGCAAAGTGCAGGAGTGTTGGCGTGGTTTCTGATACAAATAGAGTACTCCGAGAAGAATTTGATAAAACCAACGCTTGCGCTCCTATCAGGCAAACCGTTTTCGGTTCCTATAACAAGTTAAACAGTATTGCACCAACACTTTCAACGTATTCTTCGGACGCATATTGAGCTGTCGAGAAATTTGAAGTTGCTATGGTCGACGCGTAGTAGCTGGAGGGTTAGAGAAGTTCAGAATGCAGGTACGGTATCGGCCTTCTTTCTAGTGTTCCAAATCGTTCGATCGTGCACAATCTGACCCTTAATTAATTAGCACCATTCAAGTAGTCGTTCAATCGTCGAGTCGACGCTAGACCGTTTATAGTTAGCTATCTAAAAGAATCACGAGTCTTAGTAGGTATTCAACCTTATTATTTCAATTATCTAAACCCGTCTATCTATATTAATTTAACTACTAACCACGCCGTTAATGTCTAACCCCCCCTACTCCCCTCTACAAAAGCCACCGCCGCTACTATATACTCTTACTATTCCTATCATCCTTCCTCCAGCTCCTTCGCCGCCACTAACGCGTCCACTATAATACTATAATACTCCTATAATTAGATATACTAAGCGGCTTAAATAATATTAGGTTAAAGCCGGTTATAATAGTCGGTTACTATTAAGCTAGCTAGACTAAAGATACGCTCCGCCTCTAAGCTTATTACTAGAACTATAAAGAGGTCTAGCGCTATCCTTAAGAGCTATAGATAAGTAGTAGAGCGTATTACCTAGTACTTAATTCGATTATTGTATAAACACTACTCTAGCCTAATTTAAGCTTTATATTCATCCCCCTTAATAGTGTTTAGGTTTATTAAGCCTTACACTATTAAAGCCTTAAATTCTAGGAGCTCTAGATAGCTTATAGCTACTATAGTAGGTCGGTTAACTAGTCGCTTATAGTATTTATCTTCCTATAGCTTCCGGACGGCTATTTTACCCTTAATAATCTAGCTATACTTATTAGACTAGCGCGTCTTAATTTACTACTATTTATATCTTAGATAGAAGACAACTGCAATAAGGTAAGATAGACTATTATTAAGTAGCTAATAATACTAATTTAGCTTCTACTAGACTAGCTGAATATTAGCGCGGAAGTAATACTTAGCGTAGTTCTTATACTTGATTATTGCAATCTTAAAGAGTTTAAGTAGATACTTAAACGCCGGAATTACCTTATAAAGACAACCCTTATATCTAGCCTCTAGCCGACCCTTTAGCTTCTTAGTTAACTCTTTAAGCGGTGCTAGTAGCTTTATATATCTATTTAGCACGTCCTAATTATTAGAGGATAGCCGGTCCTCGAAGATTACTAATAAGGGAGAGTTAGGACACTTCGATTTCTTACTCTACTAAACTGTTTTATTATACCGCGCTTGTTCGGCGTTAATAAATAGCTTAATAGCTAGCTAAAGCTTAGTGGCGCATTTAATTGTCTTATAGATAGAGTTTTATTATATTCTATTATCTTAGATAAGATCTAGACTCACTACGCTACTATTAGTACTATCTTAACTATCCACTAAGGTTAAAAACAGCTCCTAGATATAGTAAAATCGGTCCTTACGCTGCGGCAACTTATAGATCTAAATAATAAGGTTATAAAGCCTCCTAACTAGCCCCCTTTAGCGCTAAAGTATTAACTCGTAGAGTAGCTCCCTCCGTGTAATTAATTTAGCCTCTAAGATATTAATCTCACTCTTAAATAGCGCCTCCCTTGCAACTAGGTTTAGAATATAACCGATACAGCGCAGCTAGTAGTGTTTAGTATTAAACTTAAAGCGCTTCGCTAGCTCCCGCATATATAGATTATCATTTAACACATTATCTAGCATAAAATACCTAATTTTATCCTAAATCTAGTAGTCCTTAATAATAGCCGCCACCGTGTTTATAATATTAAGTCCTAAGTAGCTACCTTACTACTCTAGGAGCGCGAGTAAGAAGGTCTTAGCGGTATTAGTAGTATTAGTTAAATAGATAATAATTTTATTAAGACTAAGAAGGTTTTTAGACATCTAGAGATCGAAGTATATATAAATAAACCCTAGTACCTTACGCAGTTCCTCTATTACGCGTTACTTAAGTACTAAATACTTATCTAGAATCTAAGACCTTATAGTTATTCCGTAGGGTAACGACTTTTAAATATGTAGCTAAAGATAGATTACTAGTTTTTAGAACTTCTTGCTATTTAAAGTAGTAAACGCTATATTATTAGATACTAGCTAGTAGAGTAGGTGCCGCTTAAAGGTATAGTAATTAAATAAGGGCGCAAGCTTACTAATAACAAGCTAATTATCTAGGTTATTAGTAATAAGGCCTAGCTGCTCTATAATAGAGACATCCTCTTACTTCCACTTAGCTAAAAGAGGTAGAATACCACTCCTTATTATATAATAAGTATCTAGTAAGTAGTTAATTACGGCGGAGCTACCCTTATTAATATTATAGAAATAGCACCGCTCTATTCTCCGGTCTAATTAATACTTTAGGTAATACCTCTTGTAAAGCTAGAAGCGCTTACTAGTTAGCTCTTATTTAAGAGATGCTCTATACTTTCACTACTATGCGGTTAATAGGTAAGTACTCTGAGTAATCCCTTAGTAATAGCTAGTAAGATAGCCGCAGCTAATATCTACTTAAGATAGATCTACTATATCCGGAACTATTTAGATATTACTAGCTTGCATATTATAGCTAAAAGCACTAGTTTACTAGAGTTTAGTAGGCGCGAAAGGGTTAGAGAGCATAGTAGTAAGTTGCAAGGACGTATTATTAGCTTATTAGCTATTATAACTTAAGAATATAGTATATTAGCTAGCCGTAAGGCTATTAATAAGCGCTATCGCGGTATAGTAAGTAATTTAGTAAGTAAGAGAGTATTAAAGCTTTAATTAAGCCTAATTAAGGTAGCTAGCAGCTAATATTATATCCTAAAGTAGTATCTACTACCTCCACGACTCCCCGTAAGCTCTCTTAGCTAACTACTAGCCTTAGATAGCTCCGCCAGCTCCTTTTATCCAACTAGCGCCTTAATAAGACATCTATAACACCATGCCAAGCCCTGAATACCCTAGTCCGGATGGCTTGGATCGACTAGCTAGCGGAACGGTGATCCGGTCGATGATCGCACGACTCCGTTTAAACGATCTCACACGATTTGCACTCGAACGATTTGGAACACTGCTTCTTTCTGCCTTCTATTAACAGAATACTCGCAAAGTCGGACATGTACATTAGTCGATGTTGTTCGTTTGACTGACGCTCACGTAGGGAGATGCCGAGTGAGCTAGATTGCTTCGACTAACCCAGAATAGACTGGTGGCCTGCCTTAGCCGATACCTTATTCTCAAACTGGTTCTCTACCTCCGTACAATTTTCACACATATCAAATGAGAAGAAGCTCGCTCCTTAGGCACTGGCACCACCCATAATCGTGACTTCAGATGTCTACGAATCAAGAAAACCTCCTTCTGCCCAATGGTCCCTTACTGCTAGTGCACAGAGGATGGCGGCGATCGAGAAAGAAAGCTACCGCGGCTATTACCGTCAATGGTGCTCAAATCGAGAAAAGCGACATCCTCGGAGATGTCACCGTTCCTTCCTCTAAGTACCCTTTTATCCATAACATAGTCGCTCCCCGTTTGCCAGATGGCGATAAGGCTACTTTCGATCCTCCTACAGACTCGGGGCTCTCTTCAAACTTTATGTTTGTGAACACGAGTGGCCCCTCCAAGACTCCAACAAGAGATGTGCGGAAACTGATGAGGAGGCATGTCCGAAGAAGAGTCGGCCATACGCAGACCAAAGTCCGCGGTGAGCGTGGCAGCGGGAGCGTCGGCAGCTGGAGTGCAGCTGAACCCGAAGTACCGTTTGTGCCTCAGAGTGCTTCTGAGCTAGAGGTTGAAGTGTCCCTTGCTTCACCTGTACTATCTCCCGTATGCCCTGGAGCTGGTACAGCAATGTATGGCGCTGCGCTACCATTCACGCTGAACCTTCCTCTGTGGAATCTCATGAACTACTGTAAGTCAGGGGGATGCATGTATTCGTTCGGACACGTGTTTCTGCCTCTTAGTTCACTCCATATAGATCATTGCCTGACCAAACAGACCTCTGCTCTATAGCGAACGCGGTGTATCCATTGGAGTCAAACCTAGCGTTCAACCCTGTTAAGACTGCATGGTTCCCCTTGGCCACTACCGACGAAGTTTTGCTGCACACCGTCCTTCTCTCATCCGCCACGCACCTCTCGCTTTCCAAGCAAGATCCACAGTCTCCGAATCCAGCAGCTCTTATGGACTCAGCATTGCCCTGCCTTAATCGGAGGCTGGCACTTCCGTCCCCGCCCTCGGATGCGACAATTGGCGCGGTTGCGTGCCTTGCGATGATAGAGGTACACGCTCGATGTACTGATACCGAGCTGTCTTAGCAAAACTGATGCGGACCGCAGAACGCGCAAGGAAACTATGACATCTGGAAAATTCACATGATGGGCCTCAAGCGGATGATCCAAATCAGGAACGGTCTCTCGTCGATCGATGCCTCGCTACGGACTAAGATTTGCCGGTATTGAGTTCTGTTCTCGCACGCCCGCTCTCGTTCCAGGTCACATGACTAATTCGTTCTACAGCGCCGACATCGAAGGTGCTGTTGATTCTCTGACGCATCCATACCTGGCCTGCATGGAAAGGTCTCACCCTCCAACCCATTACCTGATAACTGCCGGCGAAGGCCTTACCGCCAGCTCCGAACTCCTGGAGATCCTGCGTTCGTCCGGCATCAACCTAAGGTTCAGGAGAACACTCCACCTCGTTTACTGCTTGAGCTGCACCATTCACTACGCCACTACCCAAGCCGCCATTCTGATACACCCGGGTTCACTCGACGAAGACACGATCGAGCTTCAGCGTAGCTTGCTCTGCCCTTCAAGTCCCGTGATAACCGCACTGCAGCAAGCTTGCCGTTTAGCGGCCCTGATATACATGAAGACGTTGACGAGACAGATGCGACGGGTGTCGGCAACGTCGAGGATCTTGGTGCAAGCTCTTCAAGCCTCTCTTGACAGCGTCATTACCGAGTCCCGGGCCACGGAGTTGGTTCTCTGGATGTTGTTCCTGGGCGGCATGGCATCTTCAACAGGGAGCATGGAGCGGAAATGGTTCGTTGACCACTTAGCAAAAGTCAGAATCCCGGCGTTGGCCTACCCCTTGGAAGGGGAGACCGTCCGGCAGACACTGACAAAAGTGCTATGGGTCAGCAGCATTCACGACGGTCCTGGGGCGACGCTGTGGAACGAAACGAAGTTGATTGGGTCTACAGACTACAGGACGTACGCTCCCTCTACACGATAGAATGAAACGCAAAAGACGGTGCTCGGCCGCGTTCATATTCTTAGGTTCAAGAAAAACACTCTCTACACTCTCCGAAAGAAAGGATACCATAAGGCGTAGACCTTATAACTTCGCCGTGGCATCTCCGTAGTCCTCCACGTCAAGGAATATATTGACATGCGCCGCCACCAACTCCGCATACTGATACAAAAAGCCATGTCCCGCCCGCGGATATACGATCAACTGCGCATTCGGTATCCTGGCCTGCATCTCCCAGCTCCGACTCGTCGGGATCAAAGCATCATGATCACCATTCATCACAAGCACCGGCATCTTCAGCTCTCCTAGCCGGTCAAACGAGTTGCGTGGGTTGGGCTTGAGCCAGTCTTGATACGCAGCCCGCTGCCGCTTCCCGCCAGTGTCAGCGTCAACGAGGTCAAGCAGGCGTGGCTCTCCTGATACATGTCGCTCGGAGACACGGCCCCAGTACGCCTTCGCACCCGCGCGGCCCTCATCCGTATCGTGAAAGAACGAGTACGCGAGGGCGCGCCCAATCTCCGCAGGAGTTCTCGCGGTAGCCAGTAGCTTAATCGGCTCACTCGGCGGCACATCTCGCGGCCAGACAATCCCCCTCAAGTCCGACACCAAAGGCGACGGCTCCGAAGCGGCTGTCCCCGCAAGAACAAGCTTCCGCACGAGGCTCGGCGCCGTCAGCGCAACCATCTGCACGGCCGCGCCGCCCATGGAGAAGCCGAAGAGGTCGATCTCGTTGATATTGAGGGCTGTGATGAGCGCAATCAGGTCGTCGGCCCAGCCTTGGAATGTTGTGGGGATGGAGCCGGTGCTGCGGCCTACGCCGGCTTGGTCGAAGAGGATGACCGGACGAGTGGCGGCTAGGGCGTTGATTAGGGCGGGATCCCAGAAGTCCATATTTGCTCGGAAGTGGATGTGCATTACGAGCGGGACGCCTGTTGCACGGCCTAGACGGCGGTGGGCGAATCTCGTCCCGTTGGCGGCGAGGATGTAGTGGGTCGTCGCTGTTTGCTGGGTGGCCATAGTATAGCAGTGAAGAAACGTCGGATACTTCAGGTACTTGAGGGGTAGCGGTCTAGTGACTATAGTGCAGCAGATCCAAAGTGTAGCAGGTAGTAGATGGGGGGCAATGCCACTCCAGGTTTTGAGAAGGTGAAGAACGGAGTGATTCAGTAAACGCAAGTCAGACGCCAAATACCTATATATATTTCTCGGGTCAAAGGTCTGCCTCGGTCCCCCAACCTGCTATTCGTACAGGGTAAGCGGCGCTTCAGCATGCGCAAAAAGGATGTCGGGAACCATCAGGCCTTGCGCTTCCCTGAAGGGGAAAATCGATCACCGTCTGGGTCAAGAAATGCAGACTGTCAAGGCGATCCCTTGGAGATGTAATTCCAGCACGTCACTCAGCTTGGTTCCTATCCCCAAGTCGGAGATACAGATGGTCGGCGGGGGCAAAGTGAGGCTCAGTGTCAGCAATCTGAATTTCCTAGAACGGCAATCTGTGCTTAATCCGGTAAGCCTCCGCCTTAGCGTTTTGACAGGGGTGTGATCCATGGGACTATCTTCTACAAGACGCTGAGGCTTAACGCCTGCAAGGACGGAAAAGCAGGCCGAGTTGCGGAGCGCTCTCGAGCGGCACGATTGTTGGCCGATTAGTCCTGCACAGTCATCCGGCCCCAACGATGCGCATGACTTGCAATTGATGAACTGTGCATCGTAGTCTATTCCTGGCTGGCGGGCGTCGTGGGAAACTGTACGGGACTGTAATAGATGCGTGGTGCAGCGATTGCGACTCCAGCTCCGGGACTTCGGGCGCTGCATCCTCGTTGTGTCCTCCCCTTAATACTCTCTTCCCATGTTCCCCCCCGGCCTCCTCTTGGGAACCACGCATCTATGGAACCCTCCCTTCAGCCCCGGCCTCCTTATAGGAGCTGCGCATCTACACAAAGCGGCCCCTAGCCACCTCTCAGGAACCGCGCATCTACCTAGACGCTATCCTGTGGTTTTACGAAGCCGCCGGCGCTGCTAGAGGGCGGTACTAGCCGGACACAAGGCTGGAATGTGGTCGCGATGCACGATGTCACCAGTGAGGAAAGATGATGGCGAGGATGTTAAGGGGTGGTGCTGGACATAAGGTTGAGAACCAGGATCAAGCAATGTTTGACGGTGGAATGAGGCTTTGGGATAACTAGGATCAAGCATGTTGACAGTAAAATGAGGTTTCGAGAAGCAGGTCAAGCAGCATCTGAAGATAGATTGTTCGCCGCGCCCATCCCGCGTATAATGCGTCAGTAGGCACGATCCGCCTCACTGAAGCTCGACGCGCGATGCCTCCCCCGCAGCATTGGCATCCGCTATGCCGCGCACTGCCGTAATGAAGTGAAGACAATGATAGCTCGAACGCCTCCAAATTCGAGAAGATATGACCACCCAAGTTCCACCGGATCCGAAATAGTATGAACGGATAGCTTCTGCCAATCTCCCGACTGGTGGTGAGAAGTGTGAAATAGCCTGGAATGCGAAATGTCGTCAAAGTCGTGAGTGTTACCGTCAATATTGCATGTCATCAAGAGTCATGCGGCCCTACTAATAACCTTCTCGATTTATCCAAAGCACACCGCCCGAGGAAGCCATCTGCGCTTCCTTTATACTTGAAGGTTGACACTACAGTTCGTTCAGTGAATGTTTTAGATGCTTCGAAAGTCTGACTAACCTCGGGCGTCTGATGTAGGAGCCCGAAGCTCGGCGCTCTGCGGTAGCACGAAGGATCTATAATAGTCTGAGTCTTGCGATGTCGGTCTCGTTGGTCATTTCCGCGTTGATAAGCTTGATGACGTGCATTAGGGCCGTCTTCAATGTCGCTATATAGAAACTCCGTAACGGTTAGTAGAAACGTAGAAGCGGCGCGGCCGAATGACTCACGATGGAGATAAAATATACTGAGCCCGTGAAAATGCGGTCGTTGACGATTGTGCAAGCGGAAGATCTGGAGCTCCATGAGAGAAGAGGTGGAGGACGCCGTGGATGGAGTGTGATGAAGGAGGAAGGGGGTGGGACGAAGGAGGGGAGGGAGTGGGGGGGAGGGCGCTCAGGGGGACGACGGGGTGCAGGGCGACAGTTCCCTACTCACAGCCGTCTACAACTTCAGCAGCGACAGTAACTCATAGCGTTCCTACTCTGTCACGCGGAGGTACGCCTATCTATGTCTATATACTTACATGCTGAGCTCGTCGACTCGGGAGACGAGGCTTGTGATACTCAGGCGAGTGCGATACATCCAACACACGTCGAGACTGGCTACAGAGACGGTAGGACAGATTGACGTCGAAGAAAGAATGAGAAGGCGCCGGGGAGAGAGTGATAGTCAGAAGGGTGCGCCTTGCTGTGATATACGTCCAAGGGGAAGTGTAATCCCATGATGGGACGACGGAGGCTGACTTCGTGGCACTATGCCCCTTGCTATGCATCATCTTCATAGTTCTAATGATAGTTCTGATGATAGTTCTGATGATACGTACTCGTGTCGTAAGGAAGACTACAATGGACGTTGTTTGGCAGTTCCGCATCCATCTCATGTCAATCGCTACCATCTCTTGGCAACACGTGGCAGAGCCTCAAGGCAAACGTTGATCTCAGAATCCGGAATCACATGACAAGCCATCCACCACATTCTTCAGTTTGGCGACGTCATCAACCACCAGCACAAGTCGCGATGATGAAACACCAGCCAGCGTGAGGGCCTTTAACAAATGTCTAAGCTGATGCTCGGGGAAAGTTGCTGACGCGGGTTGTGTGCAGTAGATCTACAGCGCCAAAGCGGCCCCACGGTATCCGCGCGCGATGCGAATCCCAACACGTCCGCATCGCCGTCTTCCTCCCCATCATCACCGCAATACTCTGCTTTCTCCGCCTGCGCGTATGCCGAAGTTCGTGCCCGATAGCTCTAGTTGTCGATCTACGTTGAGGAATCACTAGAGCAGTACACTCGGACGACATGGTGGAACATTTACCTCGACGAGGTCTACTTGGGCGTCGGGACCCTACGCGGCCGGGCAGCGTGGATGATACGGAGGGGCGGCGACGATATGGCAAAGATCTTTAAGAGAATACGGGGCTGGGCCAAGCAGGAGGCTATCGTGGCGCGGCGACGCCGAGGGACCTGATTAAAGATAGGGCATGATCATATCAGGCGGCTAAGAAATTCATTCTCTATCTATCTATCCAAAGGTAGTACTAAGGGAGTTAGTTGCTGCCCTTCCGGCCGAATGCTCTAACCGGTTATAGCTGCACTAGCGACACGTGCGCTAGCAGCCGCCTATCTTCCTTTTATAGTAGCTAGTTGTGCTCTAAGTAGCTCTATATTCTATATTACCTCTTATACTATCTAGACTACCACTAAGGCTCTATAGTACTCTATAACTAGATAGAATACTAGCTTATATATCTAGTTACCTACTACCTAAGTTTAATAATATAGGTTACTCTAGCTCTTAGCCTATCTTACTATAAGGCTATTAACTAGCTCTATTAGGCTTTAAAGTTCGGCTTTCTACCTTTTTGTATTCGCTTTAGCCTAGGATATTATAGTCTTATAGCTCTCTTAAAAGTAGTTCCACTCAGCCTCTAGATTAGTAATAGCTTTCTCCTTAATAGTTCTTTTCTACTAAAGTTTAGACTAGATATCTACTACAGCCTTCTTAGCTATTATAATATAGCTTTATAATATAGAGTTTTAGCTTTTTATATTTAATAGATTCCTCTAGCTCTTCTCTACTTACTACTTTAGAATATTCGCTTTTAAGGTAAGCTAGTAAATATCTTATAATACTCTATAATTAATACTATATAAGAGAAATAGCGCTTATTAAACTATATAGATAGCGCCTTACTTATTATTACCCTCTATATTTTTCTTTAGATTAAGGGCTCGCTTATAAGCGCAAATACCTATAAATAGTGCTTAATTCTATAAGTTCTTCTTATTAAATAGATCTTATATCTATTTTACTAGATTAGTTTTTTTATATTCTAGCGCGCTTTTCTTATCTTTTAGGGTGTTCTTAGCGGCGCTTATAGTCTCTAGTTCCTACTTTACACTATTATAGTAGGTCTAATACTAGTTATAGTAATTATCTACTACCGCCTAAGCCTACTCTTATTATTATACCTATATATTAGTTATCTACTCTTTATAATATAGCTAGTCTATAGAGTAATCTATCTAAAACTAGCCTATAACACTCCGAATAGCTATATATAGGTTATAAAGTTTAGTAATAGTACTTATAAACTTATATCTTTTATCTTATAGTGTTGTATTAAGACTATCTAGCTCTTCTATTAACTTAGTTCTTAACTCTTCTAAAATAGGATTATAGACTATCTTTTTTATTTAAGTATAGTATTAAGATTCTTAGTGTCTTCTACTAACTAGCTTCTTAGCTTTTCTAAAGTAGTAGTAGTAGACTATTTTTCTTTATTAAGTGTAGTATTTAGAGTCTTTATCTCTTCTATAGACTATACTCTTAACTATTTTTCTTTATCTAGCCTAGTATTAATACTCTTAAGATTCTCTATAGATTGTATTTTTAATTCTTTTAAGGTAGTAGTAGTAGAATGCTATTTCTTCTTAAGTATAGTATTAGCTTTATTTAGATTCTCTATAAACTACTTAAGTTATCTCGACTTTTCCTTATATTAGCTTCTTAATTAAATAATAGAATTCTATTTACTCTAAAGGCTAGACTAGTAATTTCTTAGCTAGACTTATAAGCTTATAGTCTTAATTATAATAGACTGTATCTCTTTCTAAAGCTTAGATCTTAATTCGCTAATTATATTACTAGATTAGACTTTTTCTTTACTAGTACTAATAGCTACTATCTTTTCTCTCTTAAGCTCTAGCTCTAGCTCTTATACCTAGTTCTAGTACACTTTTTCTTAGTTAGCTTTATTTTTAGCTATAGAAGACTTTTCTCTTTTAAATTTAGATTTATTTTAAGTTATAGAGGCTTTTTCTTGCTTAATCTCTACCTATATTATCTTCCTCTTATTGTTAAGTTATCTTTTTAACTTAGCTATAGCGGTAGCGCTAGCCTCTCTTAGCTCTATAATTTAGTCTTAAATAGTTCTTTTTGATATGCGCTAGTTACTAACTAGTAATATAAACTAAGACTATACTTTAGTTACTATCTTTTAGCCTAATAAGTAAATTAATACTAGTCTTTACTTAAGTGCTTAAGTTTTATACTTTTCTACTTTAATTACTTTTAGTAGTGCCAGAATGCCACTCACTCTTTTCCCGATCGCCCCGACCTCCACCACAATATGTCTTGGGCCGATAAACAACGGCGGCGCCCCAGAGCACGAATTCCATTTGCGTAGAGACAAGTTCGAAATCAGCATCACTCGACATGTCCTAGGACGCCAGGGCCAGCAAGGCTACGAACCATACCCTCCTGTACCTCGCCATGCCTTGTGCCTCATGAACGCATCGAATCCGAACGAATGGATCATTCCCGCTGAGTTTGTAGCAAGGCATGGGGCGAGGCTGAAGTGGAGTTACGGGGAGGTGCGGATCATCCCCCACTGGATCGCACGAAAAGCCGGCACGGACATCAAGGAGTATTTGCAAGAAGTTGCGGTGAACAGCGTCCTCGTTGGAGATGAAGGTACCATCCTTCAAACGCACGATGTACGAGATGCCCGTATCCAGCAAAGGTTTGGACTGATCGTAGACTGCAGGTGATTCAGTTCGGAACCGCAGGCTCCTCCGACTCGCCCTGGGCAAGGTGGAGGGTCACGCATCTCTATCAGCACGACCACCGCATCCGAGGCGACTGTGGTCTTTGGGCTCTTCTCCTCTGCGCGGCTTTCTGGCTCCTCACCCCTTTCTCACTGATGCGGCTTTATGAGTGGTTCAAGGAGGTGGCCACGCTGTACGAGCAGCCGCTGCCCGTGGAGGACATCTTGTGGCAGTCTTTCCTTCGCCGTCTTCGCTAGAACTTTGTTGATTGGACTAAAATATCTACGTAGATGAAGGCTAGTGAAGAAAAGCACAGCATTGGCATAGCCGCAAACACACTCCGAAATTATTTCGCTGTCGAGCAGCTCCGCTGCTCCGGCAAGCCAGGTTTCAGCCACATCGTGCAGGAGCAATGAACAGCATGTCAGAATTTTATGCCGCTTGAAACGAACCCACTTGAGAAAAGCAAACTCCCACTTGTTGCAAACAGGATCAACAGTCGCAATCAACCGTCTCTCGCCCTCAGCAGCTTCAATACGGCTTCCAGCTCGTCGCGGTAGACGCGCATGCGCTCAAGCTCCTCTTCTTCCGCGCGGTTGCGGTCTATTTCGTCGAGGCGGTCGCGTTCGGCCTGGAGCTCCGCCTTTCGCGACTGAAGTTCAGCGATCTCGGCGCGCAATGGTGCGAGCTCTCGTTGCGTATTCTCTCTCAGTCGCCGTGTCTCTTCGGTCAGATTTGCAATGACAGGCGACGACTCCGCAGCCTCGTTCATCCACTCGTTCCAGTCACTTTCCACGGTGTTCATCACACTGTGAACGCTCCGTCCAGCCGGAAAATGGCTAAACCCGCTGCCGGTGTGGATATAGCCCCCACCGAGGTCGTGAAAGAGAACCTCGGCGACAGACGCCTGGTCAGCGCTCCAGATGTAGAAGATCACGTGGCGCTCGATAGCGAACTGCGGGAAGTGGATGCGGCAGACAGCTTCAGTAGCGTTCATGAGGTAATTTGATTGACGGTGTGCGGCGTGGTCCTTAAACCTGACCATCGCGTTGTTCGTATACCCGAATTCCGTAAGAGGCTTCTTGAGGGGCTCCTCCATCTCTTTAAGGGGTATGTTGTCACACCAATGTGACAAGTTTGTACAGAACGTGCGTAGCTGTCGCCTCTTCCTCCTCGAAAGCTGATCGTTGCTAGTCTTTGCTAAGTATCGCCGGTACCCTGCCTGCGATCGTGTAAGGGACACTCTCGGGTTTCCGACGGCGTTGTCAATATTGTTGGACAGCTGTGGGTCATCCGCTGTTATGTACGTGCGGAGATATGCCACGATCTTAAGAAGCTGCTGCGCTGAAGGCGAGTCTCCGTTCCCGTCCACTAGAACTTGCTGATAAATATATGGTTGTCGCATGTTTAACTTGCGCCGATTGACCTGAAGCACTTCACGGACCTTTGGATCCTGCCGGTATGCCTTCGCTAAGTTCCCCTCGATGATCTCGCGCAGGAGGCAGGTATGCGTCGAGGTGAGCACCCTGAGAGCCGCCCTCTTGAACATGACGCCATCGACTGCCTGAAAGGTCTGATGCCCTGTCTGTTCTTCATCGGCCCAGACCTGCTCAACAACCGCCATGTACCCCTTGTCGCGCAGCGTTTCCGCGTACTTGCTAAGCTCTCTCGTGTCCAGTTCTTCGTAGGCGAAGGGCTCCTGAGTAGCGTCTGGGAACAACAGCGGCTCATGGACGGCATCGGCATCATTGTCGCTCGCCTCCCCGCCCTCTTCCCCAGGCTCCGTCAGGGTGTCCTCGTCCTCGTCCGCGTCCGCGTCCTCTTCTTCGGAATCTTCATCGTCTTCCGACACATATGCTTGCCACTCTTCCTCTGCGACTGGGCTTGTGTCGTGCAGCTCCGAGGAGTGGAAAGAGGGAGCGCCAGATTCGCTCCGTTCTTCTTCGGCGGATGTGGAGGCGGAAGCGCCAGAGTGACGGTGGACCAGGCTACAATAAATAGGGTTCGTGTAAACGAACACGCGCCACGCGTCAGAACCGTGACAGATTCTCGGCCGTCAGTTCAAACGGCGTAATACCGAGGCCAGCCAGGTTGGTGACAAACTCCGCCATTGTGGCATTGGTGATCGCTTGGACCTTTGCTGGATCGGGTTCCGCACTTGCGGCACTGGAACTTGCCATGGTGGGTACTTGGGATAGAGAATTGCTTGTATGGTGGGGTAAGGTTTTTTACGAACTTTCAAAGCAATGCTTTTTTCTGTTTGTAAAAGGCGCTCAAAGGGCTCTCTTTTCGGATGGGCCCATAGAGCCGTTTAGGACCGCTACATAGCAACAGCAAGGGCCGAAGCATTCAAATGAAATAGCTGAGTTGTTCGCGGTTGACAACTCGAAAATAACTCCCCTAAAGCAACCGAAGAAGATGATCGAGAAAATTAGAATGACGATTACATACGCCAAACTCAACGCTAACGTCATAAAAATGCATCCAAACACCACTTAATGCAAGACCGCAAGCCAACCGTCTATCTCATGCGCCATCAAACCAAAACACCCTAGCTCAAATCTCACAGAGACATCCAGACTGATTGATAACGTGGCAGTTCTCAACACTACGACCAACCGCATACCCGACATCCTGGCAGCTCTGGCCTGTCACTCTCTTAACCGCATCCCCAATGATAGTCGCACCAGCAATCCCCCAGGCCTCGCTATCGTCAAAGGTCCAGACGCCGTTCCCATCCTGATAGCACTGCCAATTGTGCGTGATGCCGCCTTCGGCTCTAATGCTGTTCAGGAAGTCCTGGCCAAAGTTGCCTTCGGAGACACCGGAGAAGGTGAAGCGGTAACGGCGGAATGCGCCGTCAGTCCAGGAGCCACGGTATCGCACGCTTCCGGCGCCGCGGGTGGCCAGCGCGATGGCGTGGACTTCGGATTCGGTGGAGTTCGGTGCTGGTGGTGTGTTAGTTGGTTATGAGAGGGAAATGGGAGCTGTAGAAACGTACCTTGCACAGGTGCTGCGCTGCAAATAGGTCCAAGGATGGCCACTGCGAGAGCGAGGATGGAGAAGGACTGCATTGCTGTTGATTAAGAAAAAGAAACGAGGATGTAATTTTGAAGTAGACAGGAGGAAACGAGTTGAATCAAGAGCGGAAGACGCTGCTCGGGAAGAGGAAAAAAAGTAAAGGTGTACAGAAAGTAAAGGAAACTGTGCAGCGAACCGATGACGGCTTTTACACAACAAAGGAAGAGCTCGAGAGAGGAAAGCGGAACCTAGAGCTGAGATTGTTGACGATGTGATGGGGAAGCAAACTCGAGAGAAACATTGGGTGAATCTGAAAATAAATAGATTTTCCACTCTCCTTTATTCGGCCCTTCCTTTCTGTGAATTGGAGACTAAAAACCTGGAAATAGAGTTGCACGCCTATATCCTGCGCTTTAGGGTAGGGTTGAGTGGCCCACTAGCAGGCCGCAGTGGGGATATATTTAAACCCTGCCGCCAATTTCGACCAATCGCGTCCACCCGCTACCGTCAACTAGCCTGGGCGGAGTCTCGAGGCTGAGCTTATTTTGGGCGATAGTTTCATCAGCGATACTAACAGTGTGCACAGATAAGAAACAAAGAGGAACGTTCAGCCTCCAGTGAGACGCGGTCCGTGAAGAGCCTGCGGCTGAGCAAAAGAGAAACTTCGTGCATAAACTCTACGATAGCGTCCGCCTCTCCTTGGCGACTACCCGTGCCCACGACATCACCGCCCCACAGCTGGTCATGCCTGTTGAAGTCACCCGCTACCACCAGCTCGGCTTCTTCCCCGTTCTGCTGCCGCACCTCCTCGATCGCTTGCCGTAGTAGGCTAAGCCTGAGCCTGAGGGCTGATTCCGGCTCTTGCGGCGAGTTTCCTATTCGGGGGATGTATACAGATGCAATAAGGATCACCCTATCGCCTATTCTCGCCGATGCTGCCGTAAGGTCCGGAGACGCCACGGGGACCGGTGACGCTTGGAACCTCCGATTGATCCAGATCATGCTCCTAACGAATGGCCACTCCCCGGTATATGTGGAAGAAAGAATCGGGACCCATTCTGGGTGGTGGACCGGTGACGGCATCAGCCGCTGCTTTTCTATGAGAAAGCAGTTCGGTTCTGATATCAAGATTGCTCCCACTCCTCTCATAGCTTCGTCGTTGAGAACACTCCATAGCGTTTCTTTCCGTCTTTACACATTCAGTTGGAAGACCTTAAATTCCCTATTCATGAGTGCGGAATAGACCTCGTAACTGCTCGCGGTATTTCGGGCATCCCCGGTCATCCGCTGCATGTGGACCGTGGCATGAGACGCATTAAGGACTCTCGGTTGCGCAACTCGCTTGGCCGGCACTGGCACAGTTTAGGCAACGTTGAGCCTTCTGGCAGCGGAACGCTTGATGGCCATACTCTTGACAGTTGAAGCAGCGCGTGACTCTCGGCCTGTACTCGTATGTAGCCGTGAAGCCTGCCTCAGCACACACTGTCATGATCCTGTCATTGAGCAATCGTTCAGCATCTTCCTTCTTCTTCAGATACACTATGATGGAACAATAGAGCTTGTGGGTCGCCAGCTTGCCTAACGTGGCGATCCTCATGACTGTTACTTTGTTTTCTCGACTTAGCTCCTTCTCGAGGCCGGCCCGGATGCCCGTCCGTTCTTCGTTCATGATCTTGAGCTTGTCGACCCGATCGACTTTGATGGGATACCACTGTTCGCCCCGCAAGCGCCCTCCTCTGAGGTGAGTCTCAAGCCACTGCGGCTGGCTGCGGATGAGCTCGGCTTCCTTCTCGCTCCGCACGATGACTCTAATCCGGTGGAGGTCTCTGTTAGTCTTAATGATTGCCGTTGGGTTTACCTCCTTTGTTGCTTGATGGGCGTGCAGAGCTGTTGTTAGTAGGCGCTTGATCTCTGCTGTGTCTGTCGGTATTTGGCTGCTGCACCTGGACAGGTCGATGTTCACACCCAGAAGCTGGTTCGGGTCTGCCACCCTTGGTTAGGAAGCTGAGCTGTTCGGTGAGACAGACGACTGTCCCGCGAACAGGGAAGACCAGGACCTGTTGCTGACATTGGTCCTACCAGGTTATGTGACCGAGCTGGACTGGGGGCTGTTTTGCGTAGACAGGTTCATGATCTGTTCCTGGAGCTTTCGAATCTCGTTATTATTCTGCTTTCGCAACTCGTCAATCTCCTTTCGCATCTCATCGTTTTGCTCGCGCATCTCACCGTTCTGTTTGCGCATCTCTTCATTTTGCCTTCTCATATCATCCTGACCCTCCTGAAGCTGTTTGACCGCATGATTCGAGCTCAAGATCGTCTTCAGTATGAAATTCAACTTTTGATCGATATCACGACCCCTTCCGCCTACGATCTTGCTGTTCGTCTCCTTCGCCGCCTTCCTCTGCTGCGCTCGCGTAGAATGCGCGGGTGGGACCGTGCTCACCGACCCCGCACCTCCTCCAACGCCGTCTACCTCCATGAGTAGCAACGATTTCACGCTGTGTGTCGTTCGTGTGTATATGTGTGTGTGTGTGTGTGTGCCTGGTTGGATGGGTTGGATTGGTTCAGCTAGGATTCTAGTACTAGTAATAGTAGTAGTGGCAGAACCCTTTCCCGGTACGAGTACAGTCAGCAGTGTTTCAGGTGCGGTGCAAGTAGGGAGAACTAGAACGTCATGCGGCTGAGCATTGCACGCAAGCAGCGACTTACCTTAGTGCTTACTCGTATTTGCCCGAGGAAATTGAGGATATCCTTTAGTTAACGATGGGTTCTGAGATTTTCCCGCATGCTTTGGCGAGCTGTACATCGTGAACAACTCCCATGATTGCTCTATGCGCCCTACAAACTCGAGCATTCAGAACGAATTCCACTGAAACGGCTTGAGCTGAAAGTTCCAGCAAGCCGCAATGGCCTCAGGAAATATTCCGCCTGAGTACAGGACGTACTCCAACGCCGTCTACGCCAGCGTCGAATCAACTGTCCCCCTCACAGACTATCCAGGTTGGGATGAACAAGACCACCCGCAACTGAACGAGCTACGCAGATCTAACGCTGTACATCCAGTCCAGCTCCTTTAATTCACGACCTAGCTAACTTAAACCACTACCCTAGAACCTTAAGCGCCGTATCCGTCTCCTTCGCCTCCTTTCCCGCCTCGCTAGCCTTATCCTTAGCATCGCCGCCTTTATCCCTATCGCTATGACCGTCCATAAGTTCCTCACGACGCACAACGTCTACCGCGACGTCTTGCTTTCTAACGGCACGACTATCCACCGCACCGCCTGGGCCGCGGACTCGAAAGTCTGGCCGACGTACATGTACTTTGGCGTCGCCTTGATAGCGCTCGTCCTGGATGCCGGGATCCTGGTTTTATACCTACGGTCCGTTAAGACGGCTAATGGGATGGACAGTGTTGCTAGCGCGTTCAGCTGGGTGGTGCTTATAGGGAACTTGGTGGTCTGGGCCGTTGCGGCGGGAATATATAGGTATGAGAAAGATGGGGGGGACAGGCCGAAGGATTTGTGGGGGTGGACTTGCGCCAGCGCTGCGGCGAGGATCCAGGATGTCTTTAGTGAGGAGGTGGAGTTTGAGAAGTTTTGTGGTGTGCAGGTAAGTTTGTCCGCTGCTCCTTGGAAGTAGAACTTGTTCCGTGATGCGGCAAGCTGACCTCGCTGTTTAGTCGATCTCTTGGGGTGCTGGAATAGCGCAAGCGGCTGCGGGATTCCTGTCGCTAGTCATCTTCTTCTGGGCTGTTCGAAGGCGTCAGACGAAGAAGAACATCAGGCGGATAAGCCACAAGCTAACGGATCAATATTGATTCCCTTCCGTGGTTTCGTAGCGATTGGTTTTACTTCTTGTCTGGGGCGCAACCGGATATCGATAATCGCAGTCGGACCCTTTGCGTAAAAGTCGATTTATGTTTAGGTGCCCTATGCCGCTGCGCATTAGGAATTAACCTTCCGAAAGGCATCTCTAAAGTAATAGTGGCCGCTGTTCCGTTCGAGACAGTGGTCGTGTAATGTTTGCCAAACTGTGTATGAACGAGTCGACAGTGAGAATTATTGGTAGTCATTATAGATGTGTGATATCAACCGGGGGTATGAAGCTAGCATTGCCCAACTGACAAGGAACCAGAAATGCGGGTATCAGAAACGATACGCACGAGAATGATTTGGGGGGAACGGTGCCAACTGCTGTGAGTCCCTTCTTCAGCCCTGTCAGCTGTGTGAAGCAATCCTTAAGCGCATCGCGCAGCTTTTGGGAAGCCGAGAGCCGCGCGCTGTCCGGCCTATGGAGCAGCCGCTCGACATCTCGAAGCACACCGGTGACGCTGTTGACCTCCCCTCGGAGGCGTTCGATATCGTTTTTGGCATCCTTTGACGGCGAGGGAGTACTGGACGCAGAGCGAAGCGATCTTCGCAGACAGGTCGACGATAGCGATCCCATCTCCTGGCAGTGTGACCATTTTAGCGCTTGGCTCGTGCGCCAGGCGGTCTTGGCACTACATCACCAAAGGTCGCGATGCATGCAGATAGACTAAATAAATGAACTGCTTAACGCCATGGGTAGAACTCGTACTTTTGATGGCACAGATCATGATAACAACACCCAAGAGACGTCCTCACCGCACAAGAAGCCCAGAAAGCGACCGCCTGAGCCATGGCCGCTGCCCAAGTATACACCGATGCATATTCAGCCTCAAAACAACTGGTATATAGTTTCAAACCTTCCTCAGCACGTCAATCCAGCTCGTCCTTGGCAGATATTCAATCTGTTTCTTAGAGATGAACTTCTTGAGACGCTCGCACGCCATACCAATGAGTATGCGGCCCTACACCGCCAGCAGCCCCTCCAGCAGTTCGCTAGGCCTTGGGTTGATACTACACCGAAGGAGATTCTTGCCTATATTGCTACGTATATCTATATGGGGCTACACCCTGAGGCCGATATTGCTGAGTACTGGAACACTGACAGTAGTAAGGGACCGTTGCACCCGCTTATGCGACGGAATATTAGCTCAAGAGGTGGCAGCAGCTGGATCGATTCTTCCATATATCAAGACCAAGAGAGCTTCAGCAGCAGGATGAGGAAGTAGCTATTCCAGCTATCTTTCAGAGGCTGGAACCTCTCAACGAGCACATCCGCTCTGCCGCGGAAGAAATATTGGAATCCTATCACACACCTTGCTATCGATGAACGTATGTAACGCTTTCAAGGAAGGGCAAAAGAGAAGGTTAAAATCTCATCTTCAGAATATAGGCTTTAGCTAACGACAGCTAGGTCAAAATCCCGTCGAAACCTACTCCGGAAGGCTTTAAGATATGGGCTTTGGCGAACAACGGCTACATATTGGATTGGCTGTATCACGCAAGAGGCACAGGGCCAGTAGATCTGGATGACTATTGGACTAAAGATCAAGGGTTTCCAGCTATATAAGCGGTTGTGCTGGATCTACTACTCCAGGCTGGTATCCACAACGACGCCAGGCACGTTATCTAGCTAGATAACCTCTTCACGTTAGCTCGACTTTTGTCAACGCTCCGTGAGGAGGGATTTGGTGCTGCTGGGACGGTTCGTATGACGAAGACAAAGGCCGGATTAATGATAGAAGAGCCTCAAGATACACGGCAATCACAGCAGTCACAGCAGCTACAGCAATCGCAGCGATCGCAGCGGTCACAACGGTCACAACGTGAGCAGAACCGAGGCCTTCATCCGTCACTCGCAGAGCTTAAAAACGACTTTAGCGGCTAGATTCTATGGGGCAAGCTGTACGGTTGTCTTTCTGAAGACTGCAAGGTGTTATAATTCGCCTAGAAGGATTAAAACGTTATACTATTTATAAGCACCGTCTTAGAAGGTCCTCCTAACTTTATTAAGAAGATGCGAAAGAGGCTTCCTTCTATAGCTACAAATACAAGAACTACACATGCGATATTTAGCGATTAAGTTATAAAGGAGCTGGAAATCCCTAAGTTTATACACCTCTATAACTAGTTTATAAGTGGTATAGATCAAGCGGATTAGCTATAGGTATACTATAACACTTAACGAGTGTATTTAAAGTTCTAGAAGCCTCTCTAGTACTAGCTTCTTAATGTAGCTATTATTGATAGCTATAAGCTATCTTATTACACCACACACTATAATAATCTAGATCTACCCTACGAGCGCTATACTAAATAGTGTAACTAGTATTATTAATAGGTAGCTCTAGTACTTATTTGTTCCGTATTAGGAAATAATAGTCTAATAATGCTAGTTTTCGGTGTATTTACTAAGTAAGACTCTTGAAACCTCTATCTAAACCGTATATAGCTAGAAAACGCCTTAGTATTAACTTTTAGCCCTACTAGCCTTAATTTAGCCTTATTATCTAAAAGTTAAAAATTTATAAACTAATCGCTATTAACTACGCTATTAATTTTAGATTCCTCTACTCCTTCTCGTAAACCTCACCGCTGCTATCATATACTCTTACTACTTCTATTCTATCTCCTCTAGCTCCTCCGCCGCTACTAGTATATCTAGTATAATATCTTAAACCTCCTACAATTAGATATATTAGGTAGCTTAGATAATATATATATAAAGCTAGTTGCGGCAATTAGTTGCTATTAAACTAGCTAAGCTAAAGATTCGCTCTAGCTCTAAGCTTATTACTAGTATTAAGAGTAAGTTAAAAGCTATTTAACTAAGTCTTAAATAGCCCTTTAAGCGCGATACCTAATAGCTAATTGAATTATTATAGTTACACGGTTTAAGCTCTATCTACGCGTTATACTTATTCTATTTAATATAGTATCTTAAGCTATTTAGTCCTTTAGCTATTAAGGTCTCAATTAGCGAGAGTTTAGCCTAAAGGGGCCGCTGCTTAACCTATTTAACTAGTAGCTAGCTATATTTGTTAATCTATAGTATCTATAGTTTCTTAACTATATTTATACTATACTTAATCTATTACTTGCGTTTGCACTACTAGTAGTAAATATAAAGCTACTTGAATTTAGAATATAGAATAAGCACTATAAGGTAAACTAGATTATTATTAAGCTTAAAGTAGTAGTTATTAGCTTTTTACTAGGCTAGCTAAATATTAACGCGAAAATAATACTTAGAGTAGTAGTTATAGTCTTACTTAGCTGTCTTTAAGTATCTTAGTAAGTATTTAAATACTAGTATAACGTTAAATAGGCTACTATACTATCTACTACGCCGTTTAGATCTAGAATAGCCTTTAAGAAGCCTAGTAGTAGCCTCTATTAGCTCTAAGATATTATAATATTATATTAACACCGTCTAGTTATTCTTAGATAGCTTGTCTTTAGTAAGAGAGCTTAGATTTAGCTACTATAACTCCGACTCTAACTCTAAACCCCTACTCTCTACGAGTTTAGCTTTAAGATATTAGTTAAGGGTAAGATATAGATAAATAGCACTTTAGATTATTATATAAGTTAAATTCCACTATATTATATTATCTTAGATAAGATCCAACGTTAAAGCTCTACTAGTAGTGTTATTCTTTTGCTTTAACTGCTCTTAAAATATCTATTAGGTGTTGTAAAACCGATTACGCCGCTATAGTAACTAGTAGATCTAAATAATAAGGTTATAAAGCTTACTAATTAGCCTCTTATAACGCTATAGAGCTAATTTATCGAGTAGCTCTCTCTATAATACTATCTTAGCTTTAAATATATTAATATTCTTACTAAATAGTATCTCTCACACGATTAGGTTAATTATATAGCCTATATATTGCAATTGCCGCTATTAAAGCTTAAATCCTAAATATCTACTAAGATCTACTATGTAGATATTGTTATTAGATATATTGTCTAGTATTAAGTAGCTAATTCAGTCCTCGATCTTATACTCCTATATAATAACTAGAACTATGTTTGCAATATTAGCGCCGGTGTAGCTATTTTAAAGCTCTAGAAGCGTAAGAAAATAGGTTTTTAGAGTCCTATAGATATTAATATAATTAGCTATAATTCTATTAAGACTATAAAGATTCCTAGATATCTAAAGATTAAAGATAAAGTTAATAGAACTAACTACTAGAGTAGGTAATAATTCTCTATTACCTAGTTTCTTATTATATTACGGCTAGGAATTAACTCTTTAACCCGCAGCTATAGGTAGATAAGAAGCTCGTTAAATTACTTACTATTAATTTAGTTAAACGCTATATTATTAAATACTATCTATTATATAAGAAGCTAGCGGAAGATATTATAATTAAATACCTTAGCTAGCTTATTAATTACAGCTTAATTACTTAGCTTATTTAAGTCTAAGCCTAGCCTATTAATTAAGAAGAAGGTTAACCGCTTGCGCTTAACACTAAAGGGTAAAAGCCTGTCTTTAGTTAACTAGTAGTACTCTAGTAGGTGCCTCTCGATATTACTACCCCTATAATTAGTTAGAAACGTATATTTTAATCCTTGAGCGCGTAATAGTAGCTAATTATAATATAGATAATATTCCTTATATAGCTAAAACTACTTTTAGCTAGCTTACTCTTTAATAACCTCTCTATAATACCACTACTAAGCTTGCAGCTTATAGTTAGACTAGAATAAAGGTGTATAAAACCCTTATAGCTACAGATAATTGAAATTAATCTAGAATTAATTCTTTCTAGCCGGCTCTACTACTTAAATATTACTAGTTCTAGTATTAAGACTATATGCGGTAGATCTTTAAAGCTCGGTTAGTGTAGAGAAATTAGAGAGAGTGGTAGAGAGGGTAATAGTAAGACTATACTTATTCTCTTTAGTAATTAGTTAAGTTAACTCGGTGAATTGG